GGCCCGGTGATGCTCATTAAAAATGGGTTCCTTAGCTGGAGCAGGGGGCAGAGGAATGGGCTGGGAAAAGGTGGTGGGGAATAGCTGCGTCCTGGGATGCTTCCCCAGCTCTGTGCCCAGCCCAGGTCTCCAGGAGCGGCTGGGAGCTGCACCGTTCTGCCCCCACCCTGCACCGCCTGCAGCCGTGTGAGTGCTGGCTAAATGACTCAGCTTCCCTTCCAAACATCCCACTGAGTGCTGCCGTTGGGAAGAGAACCCTAAGGTCCCTGCTTTCAGTTCTGCTGCGGTTGGGTGGGTGGCTGACTGCAGAGGGACTTCCACAAACAGAACCCAAATGCCACAGCCGAGTGGCTGCTGGGTGCTGGCCTGGGCTACCACAGCTACAGGAGCTGAGGCTGAGACTGGTCCAGGCTGCAGCGTGCTGCTGTTTCCTCCTGCTGATCCATGGGGCATGGCAGCATGGCACCAAAAGCTGCAGCTCCTTGTGGTGGTCATGCATAGTAGTGTCTCTGCAGTCACTGGGAGGCACTGGGAAGCTGGTGCTGAGGAGCTCACCTGGAAATCCAGCATTCCGGTGTTTCCTGCCCTTGGAAATGGTGTTAGCTTCCAAATGACATCGTTACAGGTACAGGTCGCACTGCTTTGAAAGCTAACCACTGTGTGCAGGCTGTGCTCGCAGCCTCTGGACTCCTCTTCTCTGGGCACGCCAGCAAACTCCCTTTGGGCTCCTGCAAACCCCCAGCATCAGCATCCCCCTTCAGACTGAGCTCCTTTTACCCCTTGCTGCATTGCTCCTACACATTTACCTCCCTCTTGCACCAGGAGAGGCGGTGACTCTGTCCCTCCCAGGGCTTTCCATGATAGCCCCATATTTCCAGACTGCCCAGCTGTGTGTCCTAGGGACACACCATGAAGGACAGCGGGTTTGCAGCCCCTCCAGCTCCTGCCCCATATGCTGCCTGGGGACGAGCAGGGCATTCACAGTAGGACTGGCATCCCATAGGCTGCACGCACAAGCTCAGGCCCCTTTGATTTCCCCTCCAGCAGCGTATTTTCCACTGCATTTAAAAATGAAATCCAGCAATAGAAGCTGCAGCTAATTTTATGCCTAATTAGTTGTTCCCAGGCTCCTGCAGGATGATGTGTGTCCATCTGCCCAACCTCTCCACGTCTCCTTGGTCCAGTAGCACAGATGCGCTCGTGGGGTTGGGGCGGCACAGGCTGTGCACCCAGCTGGGGCACGGCGACACTGCCATGAGGTGGGGACACAGCAACCCACCCCCAGCATGGAGCTGGGGACTGCTGGGGGGACAGCCAAGCAGGGTGCGGGGCAGGTGGGCTCAGAGTCCTGCAGGGAAGGGGAGGAGAAGAGCCCATGATGAGCACCAGGCTGCAGCATCTGGGGAAACGCATGTGGCTGAATGGCCACCAGCTTCGCCCGTCTTCTGAACCAGATCAAGTTTTGCAATATTCCGTATTCTCGCAGCTCTCCTGGTTACATGAGTCTGGGCTCACACTGAAGCAGAGTGCAGCATTTCCAGCCCCGCTGGCTGCAGGGGGAATCTTGAAGATGGAAATGATGAATACTGAACCCCCCAGAGAAGAAAAAAATCCTTTCCTAAACATATTATTGACAAAGATTTCTTTCTTCTTCCTTCTCCCCCTCCACCCCCCCCCTTTTTTTTCTTCCTTTGGCTGATTTCATGATTTCAGAAGATTTGAGGAGATTTATGGGTTTCTGAGAGTTGGCCATGGCACAGCAGCTGACTCAGCTCAGCAGAGGAAAACGTGCGAAGCGGCTGCGTCGGAAACAGCCCTTGGGGCAGAGAAGCAAAGGGGGACGAGGCACTGCCTCGTGTGCTGGATGCTGCAGAGCAGGGGAAGCCGTGGGGAGGAGGCTACCTCTGCCCCCGGCTCCATGCAAGGACACAGCACTAAGACGCCTCGAGCAAGTCCGGTTTTCTTACCAAGCCACCCACATTAAATATTTAGTGATAAAATCTTGTCACAGAATCACAGAATGGCCAGGGTTGGAAGGGACCCCAAAGATCACGAAGCTCCAACCCCTGCCACAGGCAGGGCCACCAACCTCCACATTTCACAGCAGCCCAGGCTGCCCAGGGAAGCATCCCAAAGCAGTTGATGCTTTCTGTGCAGAGAGATCGTGCTAGAGGTACCAAGACGGAACCAACTCTGCATCTATCACTTAGAAATGGCCTTTCCCTTTGAACTGTCCATAAATACAGAAAGAAAAAGAAAAGCATATTTTAAAATGTTCAAAGTGAACTCAAACCAATACAAAACATTTTGGGCTCAAGAAAACTTTGGTTCTGAGGCAGCGGGGCGGCTTTGTTTAGTCCATAGGAAGAGAAAGCGCATTCCTCTTCCAGTCAGCCCTGCACCGAGCAGGAGCTGCCGTTAGCAGCCCTGTGGAATGCAGTCACTCACAGCTCAGCTCAGCCCTCCGTGGCCGCAGCACTCCCAGGGACACGTGGCACTGCTGCTGTGCACCTCGAGGCCCTGCCAGCACAGCGCTGCTCCTCGACGGCCGCTGCTCCCCCGGGGAGGAAGCGGGGCGGATATCCGCCATGGCAGCTGTGCTTGACGTCATGGGGAGAGTAAAGTCACGGTCCCCATGGAACGCAGCTGTGGAAGAAAGTCGGAATTTTGGGAGCCCCACCTCCACCCCCTCCCCATCGTGCCAGGTCTCCCTGCAGAGGGAGCATCTGTCTTCAATAATCTGTACCTTGGAAGAGGCTCAGACGTGCAGACAGCAATGAGAACATGTGCCAGGTCAGGGCCATGCTGCAGAGACCTGCCGGGAGTGCTGTGCTGACGAACACCTGAGGGCACTGCCACCCCCTGGGAACAAGCTGGGATGGAGCAGCAGAGGCTGCCACGGTCAGCGCAGAGCCAATCTTTCACCACCCAGCAGGCTGCACTGTAACTGTGGGCTCAGCTGGGACGGGGGGAAGGGGAGCACTGAGCACAAGTGGGTTGCTGCTAATGCAGGAGGCAGAGAGGTGATTTGGGGCAGGAGAGAGCGCTTTGCAATGAGACCAGAGAGGTGAACAAGAGCACTGCACTGGGTGTCAGGTCACAGGGCTGAGAAGCACCAGGCACCAAGTGCAGCTGAGAGCAAACACAGGCACTAGCTGCACACCCTGTCTGCCTCCACTCCCTGTCCCATAGGGGACCGACTGACCCAGAACACACTGGCTTCTCCAGGTCCTCAGTTCACATCCCAGCAGTTTGCAGTGGAAAGAGCGCAAGGTGTGAGCAGCCTGACTGCATGCTGGGTACCAGAGCTGCTGCAAACTGCCCAGGGCAGAAAGGAAGCTGGCCAGGCAGAGAGCAACTTCTGCATGACAGGGAGGAAAAGCAAAGGCACAAAACATATGGGCTGGGGTCCCAAGACGCGGCTGTTCCTGCTGGCATTCGGAATAACTGCCTTGCTGAGAGAGCAGCCCTTCTCTAAGGAAATTGCTGGGCACACAGCCCAGCCTCAGGGCTGTGTGAGAAGGGCATGGAACCAGGCAGGAGAAAACAGAAACCTCAAATAGACCTGGGTGACTGGACTCCTCAGACGGCATCATTGGGGACACAGAGGATGAGATCCTGCATTCCCTGGGGCACATTGGGGGCAGATGTGATTCCTGGTTGAGCCCAGGCCCCTCTGGGGCTGCCTCTCGCCCAGTAACAGCCCCAACATCAGACTGCAGTACTGGGGGACCCCCTATGCTGTGTCACGCTGGAGCCAGCAGTTCTGGGACCTGTGATAGATACTTGAAGACTTGAGTGCTTAGGTGGCATGGCACCTTTCCGACCACCTCAGGGTCAGGGCTGAGTGCAGCTCATTGGGCTGGGCACAGCCAAGACCTGTCGTGCTGCAGCTGTGCACAGCAGCCTCCAGCTGTGAGCAGCACCCCCTGGTTGCGCATTCACAGATCTGTGCAAACACAGTGAGACCAGAGCCCAAAGAGAAGGGAAGCACTGCCCACAGCCCTGGCCACGAACCTGGCTCTCGTGGCACCAGACGGCCACGCTCACAGTAATAGGACGGTCAGGGACAGAGATGGGGGTCAGGTCCACGGCAACCCCACCAAGGAGCCCACAGCAACACGGCCAGCCCAGTGCCAGTGGCTCCCAGCCCCACGGAGGCCTTGCTTCCAACAGGAGCTTCCTATTTCCCAGGACTTCCCTGTGCAGAGCGGGCCCAGAGCCAGCGCTGTCTGGACAGGATGTTCCCCTGCAGCCAGGCATGCCCAGCACCAGGGCAGGGGCAGAGCTGCCCTGGCTCCGCACACAGAGGGGCATTGAGCAGAGACAATGATCCTCTCTTTGCTTTGAAAGACCTTTCGGACTTCACATCTTAGTGAAAACTGGGCCATTTATGGCAATTATCACTTCCTCCTTGCCCTGTCTGGAACTTGTGGCTGCCCCACTCACCACTTGAAAGGAGCCGCTGCAAAGATCGCTCTCCCAAGCACAGGAGGGCTTTGGCTCAGATCCTCCTGCGCAGCTCTGTTCCCATACCAGAGAAGATGGAGGCACAGACAGCTCAGCTGCAGAGCACAGAAGTGCAGGTCAGCCCCTGCAGGGTGCAGCAGCATCCGGGCTGTACTGCAGGACAGCACTGCTCAAAAAGAAATAGCATTAAATTTGTGAACAACACCAGTTGTGACCAGCACCACCTGTGCAGGAGCCCTGCAGCACAGCTCCTGGAGGAACAGCCACAGGCTCCAAGGGCTGCAGGGTATGGGTGTTTTGTAATCCCATTGCACAGCAGAGAGGAAAGGCCAGGAGTGTCCCCAGCCCAACAGCACAGAGATGCCCAGATGAGAAAGAAAGGGGCACGGGAACACGACCTGGAGCACAGACACACTGGGCTCCTCAGGGCTGTGCAACCTCTGCTCACCTGCAATCCCTCCAGACCCAACAGGCAGGAACTGCAAGGCTTGAAGCTATTAGATGGACTGATTCAGTCAGAGACAGAAAGATAAATTAAATAGATTAGCCCACTTTATTATCATCCCTAAAGACGGGTTACGAGGAGAGTCACTTTTTGTTAAGCCTCAGGTAAAACAGGCACCGGATACCAGAGGTGGCATCATGACAGGGATGGCAGGCACTGATGCCCAGGGGATAACTAACACCTGCAGATAGGGAATGACTCCCTTGGCCTTGCTCTTCCTCCCTCTCCCTTGCATTCTGCTGATCCCCACTCTGGCAGCAGGTGCAAGAAAAGAACAGGGACTGAACGTCAATCAGTGAGCTTCAGGTCAAAGTCAGTCTCAGAGAGTTGGGTGGGACAAACTGCACTGGGTGGGTAAAAGGATCTTCTCAGGAATGGGCAAGGAGTTGGTCTGCACAGTTCCCAGCCTAACACAGCTGAAGCTGGCACAGCAGGGCAGGCCAGCACTTTTTGCCCAGTTTGGTGCATTGTGCTACAGCACTGTGCCAGGAGTCTGAACATGAAACAATGCTGAAGAGAAAAGCCAGGGCTGTGCTAGGTGGGGACTCGCATCGATCACCTACAAATGTACCATCAGTAACAAGTACCAAGCCACAGAGGAAAATATTGCTCAGGTCAAGCCCCATCACTGAGCTGCATGGAAAGGAGAAGGTATCCCGAGACACACCAGTCTAACATCACCCATGCTTACACCACCACGCAAAGCTGCCATTTCTCCACTAGGAGATGTGCAAAAGAAAGAGACCATCAGCCTCTTCTCCATCACCCACATTCAGTTAAACAAGAAAACGAGTCATAAAGCCCCACTGTGAAATCAGGCTCATGCTGCAAGACAACCTCTCCTTCTAAAGTCATCATGAAAAAATATAGGTCTGGCAGTCATAAAGAAATGTTTGCCAGTTCAGGAAGATGAAGAGAGGTATCTGCCTCCATCGCAAACAGCCTGAAAGAGCAGCTCAGAGGTACAGGTTACCTGATCCAGGTCTATGGCTCATCAACTACAGGAGCCTGCAAATATGTAAACAGCGACTATGGCATCACTACAGCAAACTGGAAAGGGTTGTACCAGGAGGAGCACCAGCTCAGGCATTGCTCTAGCCCAGTCTGCTTCCTCTAGCGGGCAGAACACAGGCAGCAGGGAGGAACTAGCCATGCCCCTATTACAGATTTTCAATCCTGTCGTCTGACAGAAGGACAAGCAGCAGACAGGATGCCCTTCAGGGCAGGCTTGCCTTGGAATGCCAGATGGAACGTTAAAGATGCAGTATCTTTTTCAAAGAGCAGCCAGAATTCAGCCCAGGTCAGGCCTAGGGTACAGCAGCTCTCCCCATTCACACAGTAAGGGCAGCAGCTGCTTCCACCCGACACACTGGGGGTCGGGAGGTGAGGGAGCAGTTCACCTGCAGTTGGTTTTGAACAGGAGCAGCTTGTGAGCAGCACTGCTGGCCATGTCAGCAGCATGGCAGGGAGGGGACTCGAGGCCTGCCCAAGCAGATCAGGGAAGCACAGTCCCCAGCTTCTTCCCACAGTGACACCATGGGCAGTTCCAGGCCTCCACAGGCCTTGAGATGAACACCTGGAGCAATGGACAGAATGGTTTCAGGACAAAAGCCCCAGCCCCACCAACCCCCTGGAGAAGCTCAATATGGGGCCAGGAGTGCTGGGAGACACGTGCTAGATGAAGGTGGAGTCCAGCTGGCTCATTTCGTGATTGCTGCGGGCACGTGCCTCAAAGAGCTGCTTGATCAAAGCAGATTTCTCCTGTTCCAGCTGGGTGATGCGTTCACTCTTGTCAGTCACCTCCTGCATTGGAAAGAGGAGAGAAGTGCTGCTCAGAGCTCTGTGCTGTGCCTGAGGCCTCCGTGACCTGGGGCAGGCCTAGCTGCTCCATGCCCCCTGCAAACCAAAAGCACCACCTGCAGATGTCAGAACGTAAACCCCTGCAGCGAGCCTACCTGGGCATCGTTAGCATCTGCACCCTCTCGTGGTCTTCATCTGTCACAGTCTTTTCCCTACAGCAGGGCCAGTGAGGTTCACATTCATGGTCCCATACCCAGCAAACAGCCCAAGCCCATCACATGAGGGGCACTCAGTTGTGAGAGAGAAGGGCTCGAAGTGCAGCCCGTGGTCCATCTCCAGGATGACCAAAGTTGGCTAAGCTGAAGGATCACTTTCCACAGCCACATACTCTTTCTCCAATGGTTCCCTCTCAGCATTCTCCTCCCCACCATCCCTGCTCACCTTGGTGAGAAGCCGGTTTTGCTCCTTCAGCATGTTGATGGCTTGCTGGGAGACTGCAGAGACTGGGGACACCGCAGGGGCAGTGGGGGTCAGCCTGCTCAGCGCTGAGGTGGAGTTCCCTGGCTGTGGAGAAGATGAAGGGAAAGAATGAGACAACGACCTCCTGGTGGCCCTCCTCAACCTGCCTCTGAGGCCAGGCTTCTGTGGCACAAGGGAACTACTGGGTTGGGAGCTGAGAGAAACCCAGCACAGGATTAAGATCCACCAGCACAGGCCAATGCAGGGTCTCTAGCAAGGTTATTCCAGAGTAGCGTAGACAGAAGTGGAAGCACTCCTTGCAGCATGTCCTGCTCCTGCAAGGAGCCCATGCAGCAGCTGGCATCCAGGACAGTCACCTCTGGGAGGACTGACTCAGCACCTCAGCAGGATGCTTTCCCTGTTTGCATGCAAAGATCTACACCTTCAGGAGGATCTCCTTTAGGTCTCCATATGCCTTGAGCATCCTCCAGCCCAGACAAGTTGTACTTCCCTCTTGACCCATCTTGGCAACGGAGCCAAATCACTTCTCCATAGCCTAGGGAAGCTCTGGCAGCCCATATGCCAGCTTGGCCGCCAGCATGAGGGCAGGCCACTGGCTCACACAAGTGACTGCAAGCCGCTAACTTACTGTTCTCACCTTGCCCACAGCTGCCAAGAGGTCACCCAGGCAGCGGTTCACCTCCTGCAGCTTTGGGATCAGGCATCCCAGTTGGCTCTGGCTGCCATCAGGAAGGAAGTCCTGGAAGATGGGGAGAAAGGGTCCAGGTGTCAGTTCAGTGCCAGCTTCCAGGGCACCACGCTGCCTGATGGGGAGGCTCGGTGCCTGGCCATCCTCCAGCCCTGCCCACACCTCCCAGCACCAGGGCACTCCTCCATTCCCACATCCCAGCCCCACAGCCTCACCAGCACAAAGCCCACACAAGCCATGAGATGCATATGCGTTTAGATGCCACGGGATGCATATTGCCTCACAGCACAGCCAGCATGAGGGCCAAGGCCGTGCTTGCTCTGTCAGGCTGGAATCCTGATCCTGTGTGCAACATGGCAGGACACGAGTAGGCCTGGCTAGCTGTGCTGAGGGCACATGCTGCCACAAAACCCTCTCAGCAGGCCCAGGGGAGAGCCCCATGGCTGGCATGTGTCCAGCAGAACATCCCAGTCAGTAGGGATTTTTTTTTTTTTCCTGAGAAAGCCACTGCCACGAGGCCAGGCCTGATCCCATCCTTGCAATGATGTCTCAGCTCTGCATCAAGTGTGTGGATAAACAGAGAACAGAGGGATATGCTTGCTGCCTCTCCCTCTTTTCTGCCGGGTGGGGCTGCTCCAATTCCCCCCACTCATCTGGGATCCCCAGGCCAAAAGTGCAGGCACACAAAAACAACATAGCAAGGCCAACACCAGGTGAAACAAGATGTCCAGCCCAGTTCTTCTAGCCCCAACCTGATGTGCATCCCCAAAACAAGCCCCAGGCTCACAGTGCTGGTTTTGTTTTTCCCCAGCAGCCTCTGGCGTTCTTGCATGCAGTGGATGTGCTGGTGGTACCACTCCCGGGCACGCTCAACCATCTCCAGACCCTGAAGCAGGAAATCCTTCTCCTGTTCCAGCTCCTTCATATGCTTCAGCTGCAGGACAGAGCACAGACGTTACTCCCTCCTTACCCAGTCCAAACCAAATGGTCAGAGAATCACTGCCTGGTCAGCTCCCATCTGAAGGCCCCTAGGAGCAATGTAACCTAGGCCCCTTTCTGCAGCCCAGGAAGCTGTCTTCTTCACGAGGCACAAAGAAATTTGTTACTGGCAGCTGTGGCAGCCCCTCTTGCCACAAGCAGCTGCAGAGGAGTTGGGTGATGGCCACTGGCTGATCCCGGTTTGGGGTAGGTTCTCCAGTTTGGGAGAGCAACAGCAACAGTCAAAGGGCCATCAGGTCATCTCTATTTTCCTGGGCAGGGAATCAGGCCTGCTCTCCATCAGCTCTCACTACAGAAACAGGTTTCTCTGCTTTGTCATTTATCTGAGCACATGCTAAGAAGAGGGCCTGCAGCCACCCCTGAGGCTGTGAGCTCCATAGGAGCAGCAGCAACTCACACTGCTGTCAGGGAGCAACCAAGTCACCCGCACAGACCAGAAGCCTGGGCAAAACCTACTGCCTACTTACCCAGCCCTTTGCTTTCCCATTTGCTTCACTGCCTGAAGCATCTCTGAGCTGAACAAAGCATGCCTTTCTGCTGACAGGTTCTGCTTAGCCTTCAGGTTTGAGCCGCAGAGCCATCTGCAGAGGTACTAGGTATGTCCCGGTGACAGGGAGAGGCTACAAGAGCACCTGAAGCTCTTGCCCTTAGGCCCAGCTCAGGCTCCCACCAGCACCCCCTCTCCATTGGCCCCTTGGCACTGCACTGCCACCAAGAAGTCACAGAGCTGGCAAGAGGAGTCTGCTCCACATGGAACAGAGCATCCTCAGCACAGCAAACCATCAGCCCTTGCCCAGCAAGTCTGTGCCTCCCCCCAACCTGCTCCTCCAGAGCTGTGCCCCCTGCTCACATCCTTGCAGCTGCTCTGAAGAAAAGAGGCCAAGAGCAGCCCCAGCCCTCCCCTCAGCAAACAGCCACCTGCTCTTTCTGCCACGATGCCACCTGAGCTCCACTGCCCGCGGCACAGACTGGGCACCAGGAGCTCCCCCACAGAGGGCAGGCTGCTCTCCTCGTGCCCAAAGAGATCCAAGCAGTGAGCCTGGAACTTCTGCTGTCTGGAGAGCACCAGAGGGAGACTCAGTTTAGAAGTGACCCCAGGCAGACCCCCCCTCTCCAAGCAGACAAACATTCCATCCAAACATTTGGATGTACCAAACATTCCTTGAGGATGGCAGCACTTCCCTGTCCCCATCTCCACACCAGAAGCCCTGCAGCTGCCACACACCAGCCACCCCATAACACCAGGGCTGTTCTTGCTCCCTCCGCTCCTGGAATTGCTGTTGACAATACAGCAGCAACACACACACAGGCTCAGACAGACAGAGGGGAACATACCCACAGGAAGAACCGCAGAGCCTTGGTACTGCACAGGCTGTTGCTGAGGGGCATGAAGAAGGTGCTGTATGTGGCAAGGACCCCCATCCAGCTCTGGCTGCAGCCTGTGACTGCCTGTCCCATCCTGATCCTATCTGACTTGCTGGTCAGCATAGAGACGGGAGGAAGGAGCAGCAACCTGCTGAGCTGGGGAACATCAGGCAGTTCTGCTGGCTGCATGGACAGATGGCATCTCCCTGGGTGCAGTGGGATGGGATACAGCATCTCGGGCAGGGCCAGGACAGGGAGGTGGAGTGGGCACAGCAGGTTTTGGTTGGTGCTGCCTGTGGTAGAAGGGGAGGGGAGAGTGCCATGCCCCAGGCTGCCCACAAATTAAAGTGCTCAGCCTCTCACAGGCCTCATCCCAACTACCCTAAGGCCATGGAGAAATGGGGCCAATCAATGGACTCATTGAAAAAAACAAAAAAACCACACCATCTGAGCAGACATTAGCTGTCCATCTTAAATCCCTGGGCTGCAGCACAGCCCCCAAACTTCTGCTTTGCTGATCAAGATTAACAGGTCCTACTGTACTCACAGGCTGCTAAATGGACATCAATCTCTTCCACCCCCACCCCTGTGGAAATGGAGCAAATTAGCCTAATTACAGCTGTGTGCCCTGGCTCTGCAGGGCCCAGCATCCTTCCAGCACCAGGGAGGATGGAAGCATATCCAGGCAAGAGCACTGCCCTGCACACAGACTCAGTCCTTGCTAGATTCAAACCTGCTCCAACTGTCTCTGCATACTCAAATGTGGAACTGGCACCCAAATTGTTTGGTTCTAGGGAAGGCTTCTCACCCCCACCGGGTAGTGCCAGGCATCTCATCTCTGAGAGGAGGAACAGAAAGGCAGTGCAGCAATTGGATATAAAGGGGATGGAGGGAAGAAATGTGGGACACCTGACTCCCATATCCTGCATGGCAACTAAGCAGTGTGGTGAAACAAAGGTAAGAGCAACACTTGCCCAAAGTATGTGTGGCAGTCCCAGGAACAAACAGCAGCTTCCAGCGAGACACCCTGGCCATCAAAGCCCTTCCTCACCAGCACCAGGAAGGATGTGGAGCTGGTGGAGCACTGCCACCTCTGCTGCACTCCAGCTTGGAGCTGCACGCACAGACAAGAGCCCTGCCAGAAGAGGGGGTCCCCTCCCCAGGCAGCCATCAAAACCTGAGGAGCAAAGGGATCCCAACCCGGGCAGGCACATCCATAGTTATTGCCTCTTGTCAGCACCTCTCAGCTGAGATGGAAGAACTTGCATTGCTGCAAGCCCAGCAGACCTCTTTGCATGTGTGCATAATCCAACCCTTCCCAGGCAGGTCAGGCCAGGCCAGGCAACACAGTGTGTTGTTTCCCAAAGCCGGCGATGCTGCACAAGGACAGCACATGCAGCCGCCGGCTGGCCCTGACCAGGCAGCGAGTGACACCAGGGCGTGAAAAGGGGAAGTGCAGATGTGAGAGATGCAGTCTTGCCAGCAGCTCCTTAGCCATGAGACAAAGCAAGGGAGGTTGGACGATCATTCATTCTACAGACAAGATCCTGGCTCTCTTCCCAGTCAAATTTTGCTTGAGCTTGTGGGCAATATGCCCAGTCAGCTTCTACATCTCAGCTGGGAGCAGCACAGATCCCTTGGCCTGGGTAACCTGATCTAAGTCTCTCCGCTTAGCAATAGAGAGAGAAGCAGATCTCTTGGTTCCAGGCTTCCCAGCCAAATTCATTTCAGATGTTTGCAAAAAAATCTCTCAGTAGTCATGAGGATCAGTACACTAGAGCCCTGACCTACATCATTTGGCAGAGGTCACAGCACAAGGCCCTTTCCCGTGCTCTGTCCACATTCTGGTGGAAGGGAAGCCTGCAGTGCTGGCTCTGGCTGCTCAGGGTCCTCAGGCTGCAGCACAGCATGCCTCAGCACCACCAGTCACCAGCACAGCGCACACATGACTTTGCTGGAGTGCTTGAAAGGCCCAGAGACCAACCTGCTGAGACCACTGCAGCACTGGGGCCTCCTCCTAACATCACAAGGTAAAATTTTGTCTTTCCCAGCCCAAGCTTTTGCCCACGGAGAATGTGTTTGACTGCACAAGTGCCAACTCCATTGAGTGACCTGGCTCTTGGAAATACGTACCTCCTCCTTCCCCTGCACATTTCTAGAAGCAGAATACCTTGGAAATAACTGCAAGGCCATCATGTACACTAACAAAGCTTTGTAACAGTAACAGCAGGACCTTCCCGACATCCAAAGACCCTACAGCTCTCACTTGCAAAGCAGGTGAGAGAGAGCAATAGGCCCACAGTGCTCATATCAGCAGTGAGGGACCTCTGCAGTGCCCTCACCTGGGGCAGCAGTCCACGACAGGGCTGTTCTCTTACCATGCCAAAGTCCACACCATTGGCAATAGTGTGTCTCCGGTGTTCTGCACGTCCCCTCTGATGTCTCCGAATGTCTCCAGGGCCCACATGGCCACCATCTCCTTGGTTAAGCCCAGCAGACTTAACATCAATACCTGTAACAGAAGAAAGCATAAGGGCTACTTGCAACAGAAACCTTTCCACTGCCCCTCCATGGTGCTGTCTGAATAGCACTCCTGCCAGCTGACCATGCAGGGAGCACCTGAGAAAGCACCAGCCATAGCACCTGCTAAAAGTCTTCATACAGGCAAGACAGACCTCAGTAATACCTCACTTGGTCGTGCCAGGCATGCAAGTTGCCCTCTGTGGTCATCTTCTGAATAAAGGAGGCAGCCTCCAGGCAGTGCTGCTTCAGTCTCAGCACAACCAAACCACCAGCAACACCGCCTGCCCTGGCTCTCTGTGCTCACAGGACCCCTGGCTCCCATTCAGGCAGCACAGGCTCTGCGGGGCACTCATCTCCTCCCAAAGGCAGTCGTTTGGTGATGGGCTCAGCAACACAGGTGCTCCTACAGCCTATTTGCAGCAGCCTGGCAGCACCAGAGAGCGTCAGGGGTCAGCCCCATTCTGGACACATGGCAGCTCTCACAAGGAGCTTGCACTGGAGGCAGCTACAAAGAGCAGACTAGCTCATTACAGAGCAAACACTTTCCTTCCCCACACATATGTGTGTTTGTTGCCCAAGGTTTGCTGTTAACCAGAAGCCCCACGCCTATGGTCTTAACACACAGAAAATCTGGCTCTGGGGTTTCCAAAATTTCATTAAAATCCTAACATCCTATTTATCAAAAAGCTGATCTACTACAAACACACGACACTGGTCCAAATCCACACGTAACCTATTTCTGCAGATTAAGTTCCAGGCTGCCAGGTTTTGAGCAGGATCAGACGCCTCCTGTCAGCACTGGATGACTGTGTGCAGAAGCAGGTATGGGCTGAGCACCTGCCCAAGTCAGCACATCCCCCGTGCCGCACGCCCTGCCAGAAAGGCAGCCCTGCAGCCATGTCCAAGCCAGCTCAGCTCTGTGTTTTTGGACATGCTGTCAGAGCACCACCCTGCTGCTGAGCACCATGGCGCCAAGGCACCCAGGGGTGCAGTCAGCACCCTCTGCTAACATGCCTGGGCAGCAGGCAGGCTGCACTCCCTTCTTGCTCCAGGCCCCTGCCAAGTGTCCAGCAGAGCCTGCCTTGTGCTCATCCTCTCACTCCCGTGGCTCCCTCTGTTCTCTGGTCACAGATTTCTGTTTTCCTGAAGAGATTCTTTGTTATTCCAAACAAGAACCAGAAAACAGTAGCAGGGAGGCAGGCAAGGGAAAGCTTGTGGCAAGGCAGCTGCAGGACACATCTCCCTGGGACTGCTGCCCACATACCCCCCAGGCACCCCCACTCACTGCAATCCTCTCCTCTGACCAGCCAGGCACTGGCTCTGTGTGCAGTGCAGTGTGCAGTGTGCTCTGCAGTGCGGGCAGGCAGGAGTGACAGAAGCACTGAGCAGGGTGTGAGGTCTGTCCGGCTCTCAGCAGGGCACACAGATGCAAAGGGTGCAGGATATGAGGCAGGAGAAGTGAGCTGAGGCTGCAGGAGTCACCTCTCACCAGGAAGATGAGCCCAGCTCATAGGAGGGAGCTGAGAGGCAGCAAGATAGGAGACCTGCACAACTGTGGGGCTGTCTGTGCTGCTAGCATCTATCAGTTCAGCAACAGGAGTAGAAGTGGGCATGCAGCAGCAGCCAGCAACACCCCAGCAGCTGTGCAGCTGTACGCTCACCTCACTTACACCATTACTGTGCTACCTTGGAAAGGTACCACAGTGACGCACAAGAAGTCCTGCTGCTGGTACACCACAGCATCCCACTTCTCTTGCCATCAAGGGCTCCATCACAGACAGGTCGCTGGCATTTCACCTAACACAAAGTCTGATATTACTCACTTATCTCGTTTGCCAAATGTCTTTGGTTTCAGACACCCATATCTACCTGGAACAGTCAAGCCAGCACAACTGGCACAATTGAGCACATGTTCTCCCAAACCTGCAGCACAACCTGAGTGGGAAGTGGAAGGATAGTCTCAAAACCAAGTCACTTCAATAAGCGGAATGCCAAAGCAAAGCCAGGAAGAAACCTGTGGGAAGAGCTGCAGGATGGAAAACATACGTTAAAACTTTTTGTTGTTTGCTGAAGCACCACTATTGAGCCTATGATAAAAGTACAGAGCCCAGATTTGGAGTGAGCCTCTGATAAGAAGGTGTTCCCTGGTCAAAGAGCGGAGCTCCGCACACCTGTGTTATCAATGCAGTGGTAAAACTGAACCCCAACAACCTGGGATCGGCTCCTCTTGGGCACAGGGCCACCTCCCAGTGGGGACCCCTGCTGGGCACACACTCAGCCCTCAGCAGACAGCGACTCTGCAGACACCTGGCAGCCGTTCTGCACACTTGGCAGCAGCCTGGGCAACAAGTGCTGCCTACAAAACCATCCTGCTCCTTCCTGCTGGCGCCAGGCAGCTTCTAGAGCCAGGCCACCCTGGCTGTGCAGGGAGCAGGCAGTGCCCAGGGGCATCACCCTAGACACAGCACTGACCATCCAGCATCTTCATTTCCCCCGCTCCCAGAAGGGACAAAAGCTTTCCATTGGAAACCATGGGGGTAAAGACCCCAAACACTGAGACGCTTGGACACCGCTGCGAGAGGCAAGCTAAGAGCCAGCAGCAGGAAGCTGTCACAGTGACTCTTCTGCTTTCAGCCTCATTTTCCTTCCTTGCCCCAGCAGATGCTGGGGGCTCCCAGGTGCTGTGGCTGTGACCCGGGTCGGGAAGCAGAGGTGGGCAGCACCCGCAAAAAGCCCCCTCTCCCAGAAGCACAGACAGGGAGAACTCCCTCAAAGTCTTTGATGACTACAAGCACTGATCACCACCTCCCCGCTCTTGGACACAGTTCTCCCAAGAGCCACACCAAGCAGCCAGAGCCTTGGAACAGCCTCGAGCTGCAATCTAACCGAGCTGAATTTTACTGGACCCCCAGCAGCTCCTGACCAACAGCATCAGGCACACCTCTCCACAGTCAGCTGAGAGCTGGGTCTTGCTGTGCTGAGGCCTGACTCCTTCCCAGCCAGCTGGAAGGAGCATCCAAAGCTTCTCATGCTAGGAAAGCCCTCAGTGGTACAAAGCATCACTGAGCAGGCATGTGGGATTGGGAACTAAAAGAGAGAAAATAACTGAGTTATAACTGTCAATGAGCTGCTGAATCAACCTGGAATTCAGGCCTGTTGCGAGAAAGCTGCCCTGCTTTTAGGGAAGCTGGCAGCAAGGGCTGCGACCTGCAGCCTCAGGACATCAACAGAACATCTGCCTACAATGCAGTGATCCACAGGAACCAGAAAGTTACGCTCTGCAGTACTCATCTGCTCTGTCTCAGCTACTGGAGAGCTTTCAATATGATGATTATTTAATCAAGGAGGATTTTACTTCTCCCCCCAGGTTTTTCCAGATTTAGGCTCTTAATGCTAAAAAAATATAATGAAATAAAATAAATAATAATACAAAAATCCCAACAAAAAAACTCAGCCTGCTTAATAACATTCCCCTGGGAGAAGCTCCTGTGATTCACCTGGAGGCAAAATGGAAAGCAGAGAACCTTTGGGATATTTAACATTTCTTCTCCACCCTGCAGAAGGGACTGGGAAGGAAAGGGTGGGGAAGGGAAGGCAAACCAGCTCGGGCACCTTTCTGAGGTAAAGGCAGGCATTGTGCTCAAGTGTTGAAACAGCAAAACACCAAGTTCTCACACAGAATTCTGTGTCGGGAGATCTCAAAGCACTGCACAGGGGCAGCCAGGAGTTCCTGTATTCCTTATGGCTTTTCCTTCATACTGGCAGCAAGTCAAGAGGTCAGTGAAGGAGTCTTCCCAGTGGAAGGGGGCAGTGCTGGGTGCAGTGCTCACCCTCCTCTGACTTCGTCAGCCCCAAAATCCCACTGGTCTGTCAAACTGAACCACTGTCGAGCTATCAAGGAACACGCATAGCCAGCCATGCAGCTGGCTGAACGGCTCACCAGAGCCTCCCAACCACTGTGCTAAGGCAAGGAAGGAGGTGGATGCCCTGTGGTGGGTTCTATGCCAGCCTGCAGCCACACAGGACGGACGGCACAGCCTGCTGACAGCTCTGTGAGCCACAGCAGGAGCAGATTGGCACAGCGGACCCGGATCGTGGGGAAGGGCTCGGGGGCGGCGCTGAGTGCTGCTGGGCTCTGGCACCGACTGCAGCACCGCGCCGGCAGCAGCTCACTTCTCCATCGCAGCGCCCAGCAGCTCCTGCTGAGGATCAGATCCACCCCACGGGGAGGTCACCTACCGACTGGGTGCCAGAGGACAACTCCGGACATGTTACTGCAAAGCCCTTAATTCTTCTTGTCACCACTATAAACAGACAAGCACTCACACGACGAGAAATGCAAGGGGAAGAACGAGCCTGGGAAAAGAGCAGGATTTGCAAACAGCGTGATCTCCATTCCGGTTTATCTGGAGCTTGAAACAAAGCCCACGGAAGCCAAAAAAAAAAGCAACGGCGACTCCTCAGAGTTCCACACCAGGCCCGGGGGAAGAATTTGCCGTTGTTTTAAATGCCAAAGGAAGAACAGGTCGGTGCCGCCTGGGAACCGGCCCGCCCACCCGCCCAACCCGCCGCTCCGGCGGCCAGACCGGCGGTCCGTCCGCCCTTCCCCGCCCCGCTCACCTCGGCCGCGCGGCTGCCCCTGGCCCGGCTCCGGCTCGCGGTGTCCGCCGCTCTGCCCGCGCCGCTCCTCGTTGCCATGCGGGCTCGGCAGCTTCTCCAGGCTCCGCGAGGCGCTGACGGCGGGGCCGCGGCCGCGCTCCTTGTCCCGCTCCTTGTCCCGCGGCTCCCCGCGCCCCGGTGCTCTGCCCTTACCCGGGACTCCGCCGTCGGCGCCGGGCAGCGCGGCTCGCAGCCCCAGGACGAAGCGCTCGAAAGTGAGATACCCGCTGGGCGGCGCCGCCCGCCGCAGCCCGTCCAGCACGCCGGAGGGCAACTCGCGGGCCTCCGCGCCCTGCCAGCGGGACTCGATCTCTCGGAGGTGCACGTATCCCCGCCGCCGGTCGTCCAGGATGTCGAAGAGAGTGCGCAGGCTCTGCAGGAAGGCCCTGGGCAGCCCTTCGGTACCGGCGGGGGGCGGCCCGGCGGGGGACGGACGGGAGCCGCGCTCCGGGGCCATCGCAGCCGCCGCCGCGGCCCCGCGAGTTGCCGCCGCCCGGCAGCGCCGCGCCGCCCCGCCCCTCCCCGGCGGCGCGCTCCCATTGGCTGGCGGCGGGCGGCGCTGCGGGCCCATTGGCTGCGGGGGCGACCGCCGGTTTGAGTTTCCGCGCGGCACGAGGCGGCCCGCGCCGGCCCCGCCCCTCCCCGCGCTCCGCGGTGTCCGCGGGGTCCGCGCGCCATCGGCTGCCCCGAGCTGGGAGGGATCGCCGAGCCTAACGCGGCCCCGCGCGGCACCGCGCAGCCCTACGGCCCTGGGAGCTGTGCCGTGCCCAGCCCTATGGGGGGCAGCCGTTTCCCAGCCTCCCCCGGCAGCTCCGTGTCGCTGTCACCAAGGAGCAGAGATTGGCGCTGCCCCTCCCTGTGAGGAGCTGAGGGCCGTGAGGAGGGCAGGCCGACGGGAGGGCTTCCCTCAGCCTCCTCTGGGCCGTACAAACCGAGGGACCGCAGCCGTCGCTCACACGCACCGCCCTCAGACCCTTCCCCATCTTCATAGCCCTCTTCAGGGTGTCTCGAAGTCCTCGCCTGCTTTTCCATGCCCTGGGGCTCCCCCTTCCTGCTCCCACCCCATCCCATGGCTGCTGACTCCATGCTGTGTGGTGTAAGGGCCCTACGGAAGGGTTTGGTGACCTCTGCCTGCAGCCATCCCCAGCAGGAGGGAGTCCCATAAAAAGCAACGCTGGCTTGAGCAGTGCTATTATTTTAACAGGCACAAATCCTCTTTTCTCACAGCACACGCCTTCACCTGCTGCTTCTATTGCTGTAAATCTGCTTATTGCCCAGCAGAACTAGGACTCTGCTACCTGTGCTCAATCTCCATTTTTTTTCTGCTTCTTACAGTGACAGATTCTGACAGGCAGAGCTGTGTGCCTGCTGGGCCTTGCACTGTTCTGGAGCTGAGATGCCCACCCGTCTGAACAGGTGGAGGGATGCACAGCCTTAGCTGGGAGGTTTTCTCAGCTCCCTGCCTGCAGTGTCTGCCTCTTCCACATCAAAGACACTGTAACCTCGTGGGAAGTGAAAGGTGTCTCTTTAGAAGCAGGGAGACCTGAAGACCTGGCATTTCCAGCCAGTCCAGAGCAAATCAGGTTAGTGAACAGGCACAAAATGTCCAGCATGTGAGATGACTCTCGCTGTTAGCTTTGCAAAAGCAGGTGAGAAGTCGTGCTCCACTCCATGTTTCTCAGCTTGGCAGCATCCCCAAAGGAGTGAGAAGTACTGCTTTTTGCAGAGAGGTGCCATGTGCTTGACTTGCCTCATGCCCCAGGGGCACAGTGCTTGCAGCAGGAACTGAGTGTGTGCCCCAGGGGCCGTGGCAATGCAGCAGCACTGACCGCCACCCAGCAGAACCTTGCTGAGAGATGAGGAGCCCAAAGCTACCACAGCTATGGAGAAAGGTGGAGAAAGGTGCTGGTTTGAGAAATGTGGAAGAAAAAACATCTGGATCTTTTCTTTTTAATATGAATCAGCAATGTGAAGAGAGTTTCTGCAATGCGACCTGAAATTTAGTCAGTTACATCTGCATGTTAGCCCTAATAAAACACGTTGCCCTTCTCTGCAAGATCCCTCTGTCAGGCAATGCACTGCAGCAAAGCACAGTTGGAGCACCACTGCCTCTGTTCCCCCCTCCATAGGCACAGTGCTGCCTGGGGCACCCTGGCAGCCTCAGGGGAACACCTGCAGGGACCCCGTCCTCATCCGATGTTTGTGCTGCTGAGAGTCACAGTGAGTGCCCTGCAGCACAGGGATGGGCACAGGAACATGTTTGGGTGCTGTTCTGCTGGCAGCACAAGACAGCAGAGTGCTGTCAGGAGCAAGAGGGGCATCAGTACCTGGGAGAATCCAAAGAGCACTTATTCAGCCTGTATCCAGAAAAGGCGATCAGCGACATTAGCAGGTGCTCATGTTGTGAGGCTGCTTGTGGGACAGACATCTCCTGTGCCATCTGTCAGGGTGGCTCTGAGTTTGTTTGAAAGGAAGAAGGGGTAGAGATTGGGCCCTCGTGGTTTTCTGTCAAGGTGGCCTTTGCTGTTCTCCCATCGCTGCCAGCTTCCCTGCTGAGGGCAGACAGGTCTGCTACCTTCAGCAGCTGTGTCCTGCTGGCTTCTCACTCTATTCTTGCCACTCCTCTTCTGGATGGAGTTTCCCAGCCCTGTGAGGCTGCCAGGTGAACCACCACAGCCTCTGCAGACCATTGCCAGTCCTTTTCCTACCAGCAGCTTGCTGGCTCTGCTCTCCACACCACAGCCAGGCTGTTCACAGCCAGATCTTTAAACCATTTCTTTTCATCAATTTTTTGTGCCTGCTTGCTTGTTTTGCAATCTCTGCCTGGCTTGGCCATGTTGGACCGAAACCATTCACTGCTGTGGAGCATGAATACAGGCAGAAGTCTCTGTTGCATCATTGAAGGTCACACTGCCCAGCTCTGCTAACAGCAGGAGGTGAGGCTGTGTGCCTCCACAGGGCTTTAAGCCTCACACTTTGCAACAAAGTCAAGGTATCAAACTGCTGACCCAAACTGTGGCATTTTGAATTTTGAATTACATTAATGATTCCTGTCCAATTTCTCTGCCTGCCAAGTCTTAGCAGGAAAATACCAGAAAATATTCTTGATACTGAACGTATCTTGGGGTACAGGGCAAATTCCCTCTCCTCCATGTGGAAATTTCTGCTCTGGCAACAGGAAGCTGAGACCTGAACGCTCACTGCAGCCTTGCTATGTTTTCTATATCAAGGTTGCCTCAGGAGACTCGCGGAATGTTCCTGTTTTCCTCCTCACAGTGGCAGGGTGAACAAAGAGAAGCAGATTTGGAAAATTCTTGGAAAGGACTTTGTATGTTCTATGTCTGTTTGGTTGGTTTGATGTTTTTCCCCCCCCCCCTTCTCTCAGCAAATAGTTTATTTTAGGGCCAGCCAAGTTTCTTTTCACTGACAGAGATATCTTTCTTCTATTTTTTATTGAAGTTTTAGTATGAACAACTTAGTTACTCGGTTCTCCTTCCTTCAAGGTACTGGAAAGCACTGTCTGGTGGGGGGAGCTGCCAGCTCCAGCACTGCCACATCCAAAAAATGCCCTGGAACTGCAGGTTGGTTAAAACCGCACCAGGAGCCGCGCTAACAGCAGTCTGGCTCTGGGTCTCTCTGTCGCTGAAATTGCAGAGAATAGCTCCCAGTGTTTCCTAGGCTGTGAGTCCAGCACCCCAGGAGCTCAGAAATGCAGCAGCTGTGCGGCCAGCAGACCTTTTCTTGTGGGAGGGCTGCCTTGTTTGCTCTCCTCAGCTTTCAGATGCCATCCTGCTTCCACCATGCTGCATGCTGGGCCTCTCGAGGACGTGCTGTGTTTGCTTAGGAGGAGGGCAGGCACTTCCCATAACGCTGCTTTTCTTTCCATCTGACCGTTTTTCCCTCTGAACAGGAAGTCTGGTGGCAGGCTGGCGCCTACCGGCTGTCACAAGGGCTGAGAGGGGCTGGGTGGGGGCTGGGGTGGGTGTCTGAGGGGCAGAGGGATCCGTATCCTCATCTGCAGCACGCCTAGGTCAGCAGAACAGGCACTTTATTGGATTGGGAATCGGGGCATGAGCCGGGACCGTGTCCCCAGGTGGTGTCATGTTGGAGTGTGGACATGGAGACAGGCGCCAGGCTAACCAGGCTGTTACCTGGCACTGCTACACTTCAGCAAATGGCAGCCATTCCGTTTAGCAGGCACAGAAGCAGCTGAGGGCATTGTGTAGCAAAAGTCATGCTGCAGATATCAGCTGCCTTGCCCCTTGTTTTGCTCAGGGGACAACCGTAACATTACTTTTCTCTGTGTGGATTCTTACCTACTGAAGCAGAGTCCTAAAACGAAGGAGCTCTGTCATCTCCCAGGTAAGATATCCTGAGATATCCTGCCCCAGCCCACTGCTGGCACCACACAGAGCAGTGTTTGCCTTCTCTCTTCTTTAGAGGTTCTGGAGCTTTCTGATGATGTTTTACCCATTTCACACACGTTTGCATTTTGTCTGTCCCACACTTACCTGAATCCTGCTTTCTCAGGTCGTTCTGTCTGATATGCCCGATCCAACCTGAGATCCTATTTTTTTCACTTTACAGAGGACAATTTCTACTCACACGAGTGCAATGGATTGTGGAGTCAGGGAGGACACCCTGCTGGAGGACAAACCTGCCCTGGGAGAGCAAGATAGCAGAGAAGCATGCTGCGTTCCTTCACGCCTGTACAGCAAGTGCTGCTCCGAGTCCCACTGGAAAGAGGCAGGGCAGGAGGGGCAGAGCAGTTGCCCTCTATGTTAAAGAGGCAGGTGGAGTGCGAAAAGCTGCTTCTCAGAAACTTCCACAATCAGATTGAGAGCCCATGGGTGAAAATCAGGGACTGCACCAATGCAGGATAGCTGGCGGCCAGATCTACCAAAGGCCACCTGAGCAGGGCAGCCCAGGGCTGAGGCCTTCTTGCTACGGCTGCAGGAAGTGCTGTGCCTGAGGGCTGCCGTTTAGTTGGGGGATTTTAACCACCCAGATATCTGTTGGGAAGGCAACATAGCAAACTGAAAGACTCCTGGAGTGTGTTTGAGAACATCCTGGTGCAGGTACTACACAAACCAAGCAGAAGGAAAGCATTTGTGGAGCTGGAGCTCATTAAAGAGACTGAGATTGGAGGCACCCTGGGCTGTAGTGAGTCATCTTTGTGATTTTGAGAAGGATGGGCCTGGCAAAAAGCAAAGTCAGGACCCTGAACCTGGGAAAAGCAAATTCCTGTTTAAGGAATTCCTCTGTGAGCTGGGAAGCTGCCCTTGGAGACAAAGGAGTGGAGCAAAGCCAGCTACTCTTCAAGGAAGAGTTCTGAGCACACAAGAGCTCGTTGTCCCCCACTACTGGAAAACAAGCAGGGGAGGCAGAAACCCAGCATGACCTGGCAAGGATGTGCTGGTCAGATTGAGAGGTAAGGACACGTACAGGCAGTGGAAGCAAGGACGTGTGACCTGGCAGAGTACAGGGATGCTGTCCGGACATGCACAGATGGGATCAGGAATGCCAAGGTGCAGATGGAATTGCTCTTGGTGAGGGATGTTAAACTCAACAAGAAGGGATTCTACAGGTACAGGTCAGAAGAGACAGACCAAAGAGTTCCTCTGGTAGATGGGAAAGGAGAACTGGCTACATCAGACATGGAGAAGGAGTGGGAACTGGCAGCCAGGATTCTTGTATTTCTCACATCCCTGAACCTCACGTCCCAAAACCTCTGGGTGGGAACTGGGGGAGCAAATTCCCCGGCACTGTAAGGGCAGAGCAAGTCCCAGACTGACTCATAAGAATGAATGCATACAAGTCTATGGGGCTGGCTGACATGCATCTGAGGGCTGATGTGGTTGCTGAGCCGCTCTCCATCATAATAAAAAAGTCACGGCTGTTACGTGAAGTCCCTGGAGACTGAAAAAAGATCACTCCCATGTATAAGAAAGTGAAAAAAGAGGCCGTGCACCGTGTTGAAATAATGCCGAGAGCTTGCTGCTTCGTGTGGAAATGCAAGAACGGGTGTCGTCCTCGTCAGTTTCCCGAGCACGAAGTTCCCAGCTCCTCCAATATCCTCGGCGGAGGACGTGAGCAGCCAAACGCCTTTCGCCTCAGCAGGCGCAGAGCCGACAGCCGCGTGCCCTGCAGGGCCGGGCGGGAGGCGCGCGGAGGGAGGGGAGGAAGACGGAGAGGAAGAGGAAGAGGAGACGGAGCGGTAGCCGAAGAGCCGAGCAGGGGCAGGCGGCCGCCCCGCCCCGCCGCCTCCCGGTACCGCCGCGGCCGCTCGGCAGCGCTGCGAGGATGGAGCCGCCCGAGGAGGTGCGGGCGCGGCTGGAGCGGGCCGGGCAGGGCCACCTGCTGCGCTTCTGGGCCGAGCTGGACCCGGCGCAGCGCGCGGAGCTGCTGGCCGCGCTGCCGTCCGGGCTGGGCGAGCACTGCCGGCTGGCGGCGGCCTGCGCCCGGCAGCGGGAGAACCCGGAGCGCCTGGACGGCCGCGTGGAGCCGCTGCCCGCCGCGCTCCTGGGCAGCGCCCGGCACTGCGGCCCCGCCGCGCTGCGGCGCTGGGAGGACGAAGGTGAGCGGGCGGGGGGGGGGATCGCCGCCGGGGGGAGCGGGCGCGGGGATCGGAGCGGCCGCAGGCGGTGCTGCTCGGCCCGGCGAAGAAGCGTTGTCTCTTGAACCGCTGGGTTTTGGTGAGGCTGCGGAGGCCGCGGCTGTTGCTGAGGTTGGCAGGAAGGTGCTGTCAGGGCGGACTCGCGAGCGCAGCGCTTGCACGACGGAATGCCAGAAATAGAGAGCGTTCTCGGCCCGCGAGCCGCCCCGTGCTGCCCGTGCGCTGCCATCCCCGGCGCTGCTCGAGGCTGCCGTGCCCCGACAGTGTGCCCAGGTGGCCAAGAAGGCCAATGGCATCCTGGCTTGCATCAGAAACAGCGTTGCAAGCAGGAGCAGAGAGGTGATTGTTCCCCTGTATTCAGCACTGGTGAGGCCGCACCTCGAGTACTGTGTCCAGTTTTGGGCCCCTCACTGCAAGAAAGATATTGAGGCCCTGGAACGTGTTCAAAGGAGGGCAGCAAAGCTGGTGAGGGGTCTGGAACACAGGCCATATGAGGAGAGGCTGAAGGAGCTGGGAATGTTCAGCCTGGAGAAGAGGAGGCTCAGGGGAGACCTCATTGCTCTCTATAACTTCCTGAAGGGAGGTTGTGGTGAGCTGGGGGTCGGCCTCCTCTCTCGTGTCATCAGTGATAGGAGCAGAGGGAATGGTTTCAAGCTACGGCAGGGGAGATTCAGGCTGGACATGAGGAAGTATTACTGTTCAGAAAGGGTGTTCAGGCACTGCAATGGATGCCCAGGGAGGTGGTGGAGGCACCGACCCTGGGGGTGTTCAAGGAAAGACTGGATGTTGTGTTGAGGGACATGGTTTAGTAGGAGCTATTGGGAATAGGTGAACGGTTGGACTGGGTGATCTTTTAGGTCTTTTCCAACCTTGGTGATTGATTCTATGATTCTATGATTCTATGATTCTATGATGGCTCCCGGCTCAGCGCTGCGCCCAGCGGGATCCCTGCGGCAGAGCGGCGTCACGTCGGGGCGGCGGCCATGGGTCGGTGTGAGCTGTGTAGCCGTGCTGACTGTCACAGCATGTGGTGTCCACGTGCAGGAGGGCAGGATGTCGGCGAGGCAGGCAGCGCGGTGACTGCTCTGTTGGCGTGGGGACTCGCCATGCCCAGCCCTGAAGATGGCCTGTCGGGTCCCCAGCTCATAACAAGGGTTGCCGAGGCACTTGGGATCAACATATTTAACTCACGCTTCAAACAATTAAATGCGGCGGCACAGACTGGAGAGGCACGAGGTTGGTGGGATGTGGAATGGCAGTGTTCACAAAAATATAGACAGTGAGCCTTGCTGCTGGACCCAGAGCTGCAGCAGAGCACGCGCTGCCTCGTGGGCTGCAGCATTAGCAGTGCAGCATTAGCACAGGGCCTCTGTCCTGGGAGGAAGATGAGATTAGAGAGCAGAGTAGAGAAGTGCTGACGTGGCAGGTAGTGTAGGAGACACCGTGTGCCTGGCCAGGCCGATCCAGCCGGCCTGCCTGCATCCCTCTGGTGAGCTGCTGGGCACTGCATGGCTTGGCAGGCCACTGTTTTTGGAGCTGGCAGCTTTCCCTGGTCATGTCCTGGGACCATGAAGGATTGGGCTGATGGGAGAGGTGGTGCTCAGACCTGGGCTGTGTGCAGTGGGGTGCTGTGTTTCCCCCTCCCCATCATGTGTGTATTACACATCTTGTGCTTTTTTTCTGAGCGTACATCCTGTTTCTTCTCAAAGCCATATCCCCTTTTTCTTTACAAAATACAGCAGTGCTGTTCGATAAGTAAATCAATGCAAAACTGAAAGAAAACAAGAGAAAGACAGCTGTGGCCAAAGGAGTATCCTGAGGTGTGGCAACCATCTGCACAGTCCTGACCCACAACAGCCAGTGAAGACGTGGGGCCACGTGGGCAGAGGAGTAAAAATTTCCAAACGGAAACAAAAATGCAGAAATAGAAGTGATGAGGTTCCAGAGCAGAAGAGCTTTTCTGATGTGTCAGACTCTCCAGATGGGGCCGAGTGGTGATGAAGCAGCTGCCCTGCTGCTGGGGCAGAGCTCTTTGGGGTCCAGCATCAGTTGTGCTGCGTGTCTGGGCTGGCTCCTGGTTAGTTTGTGCCCAGCCAGGTTACCCAGCAGCGCTGCTGACGTCCTACCGGGCCTTTCTGCAGAGTCTCCCTGATCGGAAGGAGTGGCAGCAGCAGCCCACAGCAGCCACACAGGAGTGCCAAGGAGGGCTTGGAAGCAGACCTGTGAGGATCGTGCTTGCTGCTTCAGGCTTGAGCATGTCAAATTGAGGAGCAGTGAATTTTAGGGGTGGACTGATCTAGGTCAGAGCTGCACAGTTAATTTAACTGCTTTACTAAACTAGACAGCTAGGCTCTTCGTCTGCAGCTCCAGGCCAGACAGAGGCCCAGCTGACTTGTGCCAGTGTCAGCAGTGAGCAAGGCAAAGTGTGAGGCCGGCCTTCCTTGCTGCAAGCAGTTCTCACCGGTGGGAATTTGGAAGGCCCCATGTGACTGGGACTGACTGCCAGCACCCCACAGAAGTCACTTGAGCCTAGAACCCAGACTGCCCTGATCCCTATCTAGCCTGCAGGCCGCTTCTGATTTCCACCAGGAGAGGGGGGCGCAGTTTTTAAATTTCACACGGCATTGCTTTTTACGGTGCAGTTCAATCCCTGGGAGCGAGACCTTGTGGTGCTGACCCCCAGCAGTGTTGGCCTGGAGGCTGGTCTGCGAGCGGAGCCTTTGCCCAGGTGTGCTGCAGAGCCCAGGCAGCGTTCAGTGGCAGTGAGCGGCGCTGGCTCTGGCTTTCCTCCCTCTGTGTGCCCTGGGAGGACGCAGGCTCCCAAGGTCCTTCCTTTCGAGTGAACCTCTGGCGGTGTTGAGCTGGGACGTGAGCAGAATGGACCTGGTCCCAGCCAGGCCTTCATGCCCAGCTTGCCAGCCGCCTTGACCAGGGGCTGCATGTCTCTGTGCAGCCTTTCCCCCACGGATTGGTGTCACCCCTCAGCTGGGCTCGCCATGCTTTGTGAGCGGGCGTTCGAACTCCCGGCAGCTCCCACCTGCAGCAGTATGTCATCTTCAGGTGAAGACCAAAGAGTGACAACACTGTTCTCTTGACCTTTCCCCTTCCCCTTTTTGTGATTAAAAAGCAATTCTCAGAGGATGCAATCAATGCAGAAATTATTCTTGAGAGCACCCAAGATACTTTTAAGCAGTTAAAAAGATTAAAAAAAAAAATCCATCTATCATTGTCTCTGAGACATAACTCTTAGCACATACAGACTTGCTTTCTGGGTCTTAAACACAAACATGAAGTGGTCACACTTTCTAGGCAGTATTATGGATAATGACATAAATCAAGCACAGATGCTTTCAGATACTGTCCTTATTTTATTTAGAATCATAGCATCACAGAATTGCAGCACAGATGGATGGGAGAGACCTCACAGCTCCCAGTCCCATCCCTGCCATGGGCTGGCTGCCCCTTGGCTCAGGATGCCCAGGGCCCATCCGTGGCCTTGGGCACCTCCATGGATGAGGCAGCACAGCTCTGGGCACGGTGCTGGGGCCTCACTGCTCTCTGGGTAAAGAATTTCCCTCTAACATCTAACCTAAATTTCCCTTCTTTTGGTTTAAAATCATTCTCCCCTGTCCTGCCACTATCACACAGTGTAAGAAGTCATTCTCCCTGCTGTTCATAAGCTCCCCCTAAGAACTGGAAGGCTGCAATGCGGTCTCCCCGCAGCCTGCTCTCCTCCAGGCTGAGCACCCCCAGCTCCTCAGCCTGTCTTTGCAGCAGAGGTGCTGCACCCTCTGAGTGTCCTCGTGGCCTCCTCTGGACCCGCTCCAGCAGCCCCACGTCTTTCCTGCGCCGGGGGCCCCAGGCCTGGACGCAGTACTGCAGATGGGGCCTCACGAGGGCAGAGCAGAGGGGGACAATCCCCTCCCTGCCCGCTGCCAGCCCTCTGTTGGTGCAGCCCAGGGTGCTGCTGGCCTCCCGGGCTGCGGGCGCACACTGCTGCTCGTGTGCAGCTCTGTGCCCTCCAGGACCCCCACGTCCTTCTCTGCACGGCTGCTCTCAGGATCTTCCCGCAGTTTGTATAAATGCCTGGCATTGCCCTGACCCAATGCAGCACCTCACACTTGGCCTTGTTGATCCTCATTAGGTTTACATGGGCCAACCTTTCGTGCCTGCCCAGGTCCCTCTGGATGGCATCCCTTCCTTCTGTTGTATCAGCTGTACTCAGCTTTGTGCCATCTGCAAACTGCAGAGGGTGCACTCAGTCCCGCTGCCTGTGTTACTGGTAAAGATGATGAAGAGTCCCAGTTTGGCCCCCCAGGGGACACCACTCATCACCGCCTTCACCTGGACATGGAGCCGCTGACCACAACCGTCTGGCCGCGACCATCCAACCCATTCCTTCTCCACCAAATAGTCCATCTCTCCAATTCAGAGATAACAGATCCCTGCCCTCTACAAGGACAAACACAGGTGTGTTCTCAGGCTTGGAGGACAGAGAAGCCAAATGCCCCATGTGGGACAGAGGCTGTGAGCCCACGCTGCAGCTGCTCTGTGACTTGGGATATGTCCCAGTGAGGCAGCAGTTCAGCACAGCTGGTGCAGCTATGAATGAGCCAGGCACTTCTTGTATCCAGAGAAGCAAGTCTCTGGAGCCACCTGCGTGGTGTTGTACCTATGCTCTGTCTGCAGTGAAGGTCTTATACTGCAGTTCTGTGGCACTTGTGCAGCCATGGCCGGCTCTGTTCTGCTGCTGCTGAGCGTTGCTCAGCCTCTGTGCCCACAACCAGCTGTTGGGTTTTTAATGTTGTTGGCTGTCACTGGAGAATAATTCATTCTGTGCAGTCCTTGGTCACGGGTGTGACAAGAAGCCTGCTCTTGCCAGTGGTAGTGGCTGAGGGCTGTTCTTTGCTCAGACACCACTGTTTATCTTGCTTTATGAGAGGCTTGTCATTACTGTGGAGACACAGTCAAGTTTGTCCAGGGATAAATTGACAACACAAGAGGCAGCACTTTGTTTGCAAAGTGGCAGCTAGCCGTGCTGGTTGAGCTCAACAGAACCATAATGGTCGTTTTTCCTTTTCCTGGGATACAGGGCTGGGAGACAACAGCAGGATGTGTGCAGCTGCATTTCGCTCACACTAATACCCACTGCTTCAGTCACAGGGGTGACTTTCCATTCCTTGCCACCGCTGTGACCCACACTGAGCAGAGTTTAGCTTTGCTTTCTAATCACAGCTGATCATTTTCTCATCCCTGCCAACCCCTGAACTGGTGTTTAACTGCTTGCCCCTCCATCCTTTGGGTTGGTGTGCAGGTTTCCTGCTATAGCAGAGCTGTGTGAGGCACCTGTCCAGCAGCCAATGCAAACAGTGTGCCAAGCACTCAGCAGCAGCTGGTAGCAAACCACAGTGACACAGCCAGTACCTGAGAGCTGCTCCGTGCTTTGTTACAGCTCTTGCAGTAAAGGTGCGGGGGAGCCACGAATTGTTTGGGCTTTGTTACATACATGTGTGCTTCTTTTGCTTTCATGACTGCTAAGGAGCTCAGATGTCGGAGCTTTGCTGTAGTAGAGCTGCATGTTTCAGTGTACAGCTCTCACAGTACTGTTGTCTGTGCCTTTTTAAGTTTAAAGCATGCAGGCTTTCCTGTTTAGCCAAGAACCTCCTGAAACTTTGAAACCCCCAGACCCAAGGTGCAGGTTTCCTGCTAGAAAGCTCTCCTAAGCCCACTTGAAACCAGAGGTTGGGCTACAGATCTCTAGAGGTCCCTTGCAACCAAAGTTTTGTGATCCTATGAATTCCAAGTCCTGTTTGCAGCAGTGATGGCAGTGCTGTGTAATTGGCTGCCTGCAGGCCGCCTGACCCAGCGTGGTGATCTGCAGGGAGACAGAATATGGAGGCAGAAACATTGTCCTGCATCGCAGGGAGAGTCGACAGTATTGCTACAGTGACAGGGGAGACTTTACATCTGTGTTCCTAGTGCTGGAAGCTAGATTTTTAAACAAAATTAAAACCAAGACATGTTTTTACAGCAGCAGTTGGTATTTTTCCTTCTTACTCCTCATTTGAATAGATGATTATTTAAAGGTGAGCATAAATATTATGATTCTTTCTAAATAAAGATGATTCTTTCTAAATAAATATTATGATTTCTTTCTAAAGCAGTGTTTTTGGTCCCTGTGTCTTTTAGTCTGAGTGTTGAAAGATGTCCCTGCTTGAAACAGAACTGCCCCAGCCCTAGGGCAGCTCAGCAGGGCTTTATCTGAGTCTTGACAACCCCAAGGTACAGTTGCTCCCTTTCTCTGCAGGTCTTTTCCAGGGATGCACCACTTTCCCAGTAAATCATTTCTAATGTCCAGTGTGAACATGCTGAGCTGCACTCAGAGCTGTTTCCTGTTGTTACACCATCTGCTGCTTCAGATAAGGGAAAAGTGTATCAGAGAGGAGATTTGTTTTAATGTGGCATACAGCACCCTTCTGCTCTCTGAACTACCAGCAGTTGGCATGGAACAGCTTCTGGCTGTTGCCTGAGCTCTGTAGAAAGGCTCAGGGGAAGGGCACAGGACGTGGACCGTCTTTGTGATTCTCATGCTCTCTTTGGCTTCTTTCTCCCGTTCAAGGTTTGCAGCAGATCTCACAGAACAAAGTGGCAGTGCTGCTGCTGGCTGGAGGACAAGGAACCCGCCTGGGAGTGAGCTACCCCAAGGGCATGTACAACGTGGGACTGCCCAGTGGCAAAACCTTGTATCAGATCCAAGCAGAAAGAATCCGAAAAGTGGAGCAACTCGCTGGCCAGAGGCACCGCTGCCAGTGCACCGTGCCCTGGTAGGTGGGCTGAACCACAGACCCGCTGTAAGGGGGTCTTTGCTTTGCAGTCTTGCCTGTCTTGTCTTCTAGAAGTGCCTTGACAGCAGAGACATGCCAGGGGATTTTGGCAGTGTGCGTGATCCCAGCAGCTAGAAGAGGAGCTCAGGTGGGCAGTGACACACCAACAGTGCTGCAGCGAGCACTGCCCTGCATTCACTGACCACCGTGCTGTGTCTGTTTCAAGCACAGACCTTACAGTGCAGGAAACAGCACTTTTCAGTGCCTGTTTTGGATCGCTCGTGAGAGATTTGTACGTTTGTGCTGTGCTTTCTCAGGTTCCTCTCTGGAGAGAGAAATCACACCACACTGAGAAACTCTGCGTGTATCTTCAGGCAGAGCATGAAGCTCTTCCCTTCCTCAATAGTAAATCCTTGCCCTGCTCCATTTTTAGGCTGCCTCCTGCTGTTGTTGTTTGCAGCTGTCTGCCTTCTCTCCTAGATGCCCGTAGCTTTCAAAAGCCTCCAGGCTTCCACAGAGCTTTGCTCTGCAAGGTGCAGAACGTCAGTTCCCTCTGAGATTGGGTGGGTGAGAGAAGAGAAAGGCACTGCTGCCTGGCTCTGGGAATGTTTTCTGCTGGGTGCTCACCCTTAGGTTATAGAGATACCATTACAAAGTCCCTGTCTGGTCTGAGGCAGGGTGTGGGAAGAATGAAGGAGCCTGTATGTCTCAGGTCTTCAGGATGACACATGGTTTTACAAGTAGGAATCTGAAGGTGATTCAACTCCAGATTGTATGTTTCTTTCTAAAGCTACATGTACATGACTCAAATTGCAAATGTATCCATGCCTGGTGCTGTTGGAAGCCATCAGCAGCATCTGCTGATAATGTTTACAGTTTACCTCCCTTGGGTTGAAGAGACAGCTGGCTGCTGCAATACCCTGGAGGACAGTATCTACTGTGCTGCAGAAATGTAAACCAGTGTGTATGAGGCCCTCCTGTGCAGACTATGGATATTCTGTTGTGCTAGCAGAGGACCACATACACCTGTACTGAGCTGTTGAAGGGCTTGGCAGGTACGTGATGCTCTCTGCTCTGCACTGGTGTAGCCTCTCCTGGAGCACTGTGTGCAGGGTTGAGTGCCACAGCATAAAGGCATAAAACTACTGGAGGGCTACAGAGAGATGGGAGAGGGTCTGGAAGGGAAGGAATATGAGGAGCAGCTGATGTCCTTGGTTTTGATTTGAAACTGAGGTGAATGAACCTTTCGTGCCATTCTGCGCACTGTTTTGGAGCTGACTGGCAGATGTTATGCACATTTAGGGAAGCGCTTTTCTGTCCTGGGTGGAGCTGAGCCCCTGGGTAGGATTGCTCTTGAGTCCTTGCACAGCCTTCCTGCAGGATGGGTTGTGGAGAAACGGCACGCAGTTGAGCAGCAGATCTCAAGATACCCCGCTGTCTCTCATTTAACATCCTGAGGTTTTCTCCCTTCCATGTCCCACCTGTAGTTTTTTCTTTTTCTTGTTCCTTGCTCTGCACCTGCTCCTACCCAGGTACATCATGACAAGTGAGTTCACGCTGAGGCCGACAGAGGAGTTCTTTGTAAAACACAGATACTTCAACCTGGATAAATCCAATGTAATCATGTTTGAACAGAGGATGCTGCCAGCTGTCACCTTTGATGGGAAGGCCATCTTGGAGGAGAAGGGGAAAATTGCTATGGCTCCAGGTACCTTGCTGTTAGCCCTTATTTGGTGCAGTAGCCTGTGCTGAAAATCATTGTTAGCCATCCTTGGCACACAGGAGCAGCCTTGGGAGGTCAGTGTCAATGCCTCTAGTTAGCATGGGAGAGTTCTGTTAGATGTTTTGGGATGGTAATCAGGAGTGTAGCAACCTCTGTTTAGTTCTTGCTGGAGTCTTGTCCACATTGCATGGCTTTAAATCAAAGTTTGGGAATATTGGCAGGATTAGGAAGAGTGGGATTGCTGTGGTGTTGGGCCAGCCTGCGTGAGCAGGGCTGTGTGTGTACTCAAGGGAAGAGGCCCCAGGATGCAATCCCTGGGGTGCTGCCTCGCAGGATGAAGCTGTCAGAGCAGCTCCATTCCCCCCCAGCTCGGAGCTTCTGGCTGCTCAGAAGTGATGCTGTCAGGTTGTGGAGAAAACCCACCTGGCTGAAGGCTCCTTTTCAGGGCTGATAGTGAGAATTGGGGGAAAAAACAGCAGGCAGCAAGAAGACAAACTCCTTCCAAAATTATTGAAATGTTTCATGTTGAAAAGTTCTCCTCTTCTCTGGACCTGGACATGGCAAGAGGTGAGGGGATGGGGAGGGCAGTCCTCCTGGGGCTGTGTTGCAGTATTGCGACTTCTGTGGCTGCAGAATGGTTCTTCAGAGCAGACAGGAGTGCTAACGGGGTGGCCGTGAAAGGATGATCTGTGATGAACAAATGTGCAAATGGAGTTGGGGGGGGGCGGTGGGAGGGTGAAATACACAGAGGATAAAAGACTGACTTTAGCCTTTCTTTCTCCAGGCTGTTTTAAATGTGCTTTTGCACTGCACTGGAAGAGAAGAAATGTTACAGCCCAATACAGTGTTTTGAGCTTCAGTGTTTTTCCTCTGAGGGTCTCACAGCACTTTCAGCTTTCATAATGCTTCCCTGTGAGGCTGATACCAATAGCCCTGCTTTGCAGATGGGCTGTGGAGGGAGACAGCCTTGTCTGAACTGAGCCTGCATCAGAGCTGGAAGTGAAACCCCTTGGCACTGACTCTTGGCTAGAAAACATTTCCTGCTCTGCTATTCAGGAAAATTTCTTTAGGGCTTTTAGCCTTTGCTCTATCAGTCATGAAATAAACTTTGCAAAGTCACCAATTAACCAGGGCCTCCTCTTTTCTCCTGTGTTATAGATGGCAATGGTGGCTTGTATCGTGCCTTGGTGGATAATAAGATCTTGGATGACATGAAGCAGCGTGGTATCCAGTACGTCCATGTGTACTGTGTAGACAACATTCTTGTCAAAATGGCAGATCCAGTCTTCATAGGCTTCTGTGTTTCCAGAGGAGCAGACTGCGGTGCCAAGGTGAGGTGGTGCTCATGCTGGGCTGATTGCCTGCAGACCGTGGGGGGTGAGCAGAGTTAAGATCTCAGGGTGAGCTTGGGTGTGCTCAGATCTCTGCCCAGTGGTGGCTTGCTCAGAGCAGACTTAGACATGGCAGTCTGAAATGCCTGTTTTGAACTCACAGTCCCCTTCCTGGGAGCGTTCTTGTAGCACTCCCTTCCCTCTTCCCAGAGTAGAATGGAAAACAGGCTTGGTAACATAGAATCACAGAGTCGCTACAGTTGGAAAAGATCTCCAAGATCATCCAGTCCAACCGTCCACCTCCCACCCCCATCCGTTTCCCCACTAAACCACGTCCCTTAGTACAATATCCAAATGTTTCTTGAACACCTCCAGGGGCGGCGACTCCTTCACCACCCTGGGCAGCCTGTTCCAGTACCTGAACACTCTTTCGGAGAGGAAATGTTTCCCAGTATTCAGCCTGAACCTCTCCTGGTGCAACTGGAGTCCGTTTCCTCTCGTCCCATCGCTGTTACCTGGGAGCAGAGGCTGACCCCGCCTCACACAGCCTCCTGTCAGCAGCAGCACAGCACTGCCATCTCCCCTGAGCTCCCCTTCCCCACGCTGACCCATCCCAGCTCCCTCAGCCGCTCTCCATCACACCTGTGCTCCAGACCCCTCACAGCTCCATCCCATCTCTGGACACGCTGCAGGGCCTCCGTGTCTGCAGTGCAGTGAGGGCCCAGCACCGAGCACAGCACTGAGCTGCGGCCCCACCACTGCCGTGCAGAGGGACGATGCCCTCCTGCTCCTGCTGGCTGCACTGCAGCTGACCCAAGGCAGGCTGCTGTGGGCCTTCTTGGCCACCTGAGCACACTGCTGGCTCGTTCAGCATTGACCCCTTGTGCATTTCTTCCACTCGGTCTTCCAGTCACTCTCCTTCGAGTTTGCAGCACTGTATGGGTTGCTGGGGCCAAAGTGCAGGACCTGGAACTTGGTCTTGTTGAACTTCATTCCATTGGCCTTAGCCCAGTCTGTTCAGATCCCTCCTCAGGAGGGTGGTGTCATCTGCACATTTACTGAGGGCGATCAATCCCCTCATCCAGGTCATAACAGAAAAATTAAACTTCTATTAAAGCAGGGACTGTAGTTGCACAGGAACCCTACAAACTGAAACTGCTTCCCTTTTGTGTGTTCCTGAGATATCTGGAAGCCTTATTGGACTGGGTTGTGTTTTGTAAACACAACTTTAATTCTAATCAAGGCACTGCTTATATCCCACTGTGATAGATGGCAAAAGCCAGAAGAGCTTGGTTTTGTGACTCAAAATCAGCAGGTCTCCTGATGTTCAAGACAGGTTTCTGTTGCTTTAATCAACACTGTTCATGTAAGCAGGGAGCTAAAGGCTGATAGATGTTACATTCTTCATTTAATCCCAAGTCCCAGTTAAAAGACCTTGATAGGAAAAGTGCCTCACAGTGTGCTGCTCCAACCAGCTGACTGGAGGTGGCTTTCTTTTAACTGCAGAGTGTCTTCTGAGCAGTTGTGCCTTGGAGTGGTCACGTACTGCTTTTTGTACCAGGTTGTTGGGAAGAATACATCTCCAGGCTACTCGGTGTACTCAGTATTATCTTACTTGTGTTTGTGAGGCACCGTGTGTACAGCCAAGTACTGCAGGTCAGCTTGTGCTTGGCAGCTGGAATATTGCTGGTGGTTTCTTCTTCCTTGTGATGAGCCTCTGTCCTGTGGCTGCAGGTGGTGGAGAAGGCCTACCCCACAGAGCCTATAGGGGTGGTGTGCCGCGTGGATGGGGTCTCTCATGTGGTGGTGGAGTACAGCGAGATCAGCCCGGAGACGGCGCAGCAGCAAAGGCCTGATGGGGGGCTGATGTACAGCGTTGGCAATATCTGCAACCATTTCTTCACTGTTGACTTTCTGCAGACAGTGGCCCAGTAAGTCCCAGCAGAACTGCCAGGCAGCTGTGCATGGCGGATGTTCCCGTTTCCCATGTCGTAGTTACGGATGTTTCCTACTCTGCTCTTCACCTCCTCTCTCCTCCAGACAGTCCCACAGTCTGTGTCTGCTGTTGGTCACCCCAGCGTGGTCTTTATGCCTCATCCAGTGGAGGGTTTGCGTGCTTTGCTGTAGCTAAATCACCTGGGATAAACCAGTGCTTTGACCTTCCTGGGCTTGCAGGGGGGAGCAGCCACATCACTGAGCACAGCACACGCTTTGAGGACTTTCAGTAGGAATGCCAGCCGTGCTGTGTCCCTTTGCACAGTTGGATGGGGGGGTGGCTGGCAGAGGACTGCACCTTGGAGCTGGGAAACAGGAATGTGATAGCTGGTTCAGTGAGCAGCTTTCTTCTGTTAGTTATGGCTCTGACCCTGGGCTGGAGGTACTGTGTTCTTGTGGGGTTTGTTGCTGTGGGAGGATATGAAACTGATGTAGTCTGAAGGTGTGGGGACAGTTAAGGGAGACCTAATTTCATTTCTATCAATCCTGAGGCAGGCAGAATCACAGAATCACAGAATTGTAGGGGTTGGAAGGGACCTCCAGAGCTCATGGAGTCCAACCCCCTGCCAAAGCAGGTTCCCTACAGCAGGTCGCACAGGTCGGCATCCAGGCAGGTCTTGAACATCTCCAGAGAAGGAGACTCCAGAATTCCAGAAGAGCTTCGTCCCTTTGTGTGAAGGATCTGCACTGCTCCATTTTCGTTCTGGTCAAATAACAGTTGGGTTACCTTTTTTCCCTCTGCCTGTGATTGCAGCTGTGCACTCCGTCACCTTTTGCTTTACCCTATGATGTCATGCTGTCATTAGCAGTGGAGTGCCTTGGCTGCCTGCCCTGCAGCTGTCTGGGCTACTTTGCTCAGTGAAGTGTTTCCTGGATGTGACTTCAAGTCAGCATCCACAACAGTTGAGATAAGACCTGGAGTAGTAATAGGCCATCAGCTTCCCAGAGATGTACTTCTCTTTTTTATTGGGCACGAAGCAAATTAACTTGTTTGTCCTCTTTGCAGAAAACACGAGTCCCAGCTGAAGCACCACGTGGCCATAAAGAAGGTGCCTTACATTGACGAGGAGGGAAATCTGGTAAAACCGCTAAAACCGAATGGAATAAAGCTGGAGAAGTTTGTGTTTGATGTGTTCCAGTTCTCTAAGTTAGTGGCAGAAGTGATCTTTTTTCCCCCCTTTTCATTTTCTGTTTGAATGACTGTAAGCTGTAGAAGATCTTGACAGATTGTGTGTAGTTTGTGTTAGAGAGCCTGTTGGATCTACCAGGCTTCAGCATGGCAGTAACTGCAGGCACTGACAGTGCATTCACCGAGCCCTTGTGTGCAGTCCTTTGGGAATCATTCATTCTGCTGAGGATGGTTTGTTTGGCTCTCCTTCTGCTGGCCCTAGGAGAGAAATAAGGCAGGAGACACAGAGCATAGCCAGCATTTAATATAAGGGCATGTTGGAATGTTCAGCTTCTCAGAAATCGGACCTTTCATAATTGTGGTTTCCATGACAACTGCAGCTTTTGTTGGGTTTTAGGTGCATGAGAAGCTGGGGCCGATTCACACCTTTGTGTTCAGAGAACAGGTCGCTGGAGCCCCTGGGGATAAGATCTGTTGCTGTAGGAACTGGAAAAGCTGCCTTGCCAATCTCCAACACAGCACGGCGGTGCTGTGGGGCTGACAGTACTTTGTGTGCAGTGAATGGGGACTAATAATAATTCAGGAATTTACCATAAATTTGTGAATCCTCTTTTCCAAAGCCCAGAATTCAGCAACAAAGATTCTGTTCTAGGTTGAAATTAACAACGAGAGCAAAAAAGAGACCTTAGGCAAACTGAAATATCTCGTTTGGAGATAGTGTTTTTGTTTTAAGAGGATTTACTGTAGGTGAAGGAGATAAGGTTTGAACCCTGGTCTCCATTTCCTGGCATGCAATCTGTAAGGAAACATACCTAAAAGCAAAGTCAGCGTGGTGGAAATAATGCAGAGCTATGGATTTTGAAACAACTGCCAGCAGTTACTTCTTGTTTTTTCGTGTTACTTCACGTACTTTGTTGATAATACGGAAAAAATTGGCAGGTGCTCTTCGTGTGCAAAGTACAGAAACACAAAGGTGCTGCTGTGGTTTTATTTGCATTCCCTTTTCTGGTAAACTTCTGTACATGCATCTGACTGTGTGTCCTCCCGTTCTGCTTACTCACACCTGGAAACTGCTGTCCTGAGTCACTGCTTCCCCCAGGCTGCCACGCAGTGACTTTCTTTAAGGCAGGGGTGCAGGGCTCTGCTGTGAGCAGCACAGCACTGCCATGTATCCAAGCGTCAGGCATCGCACCTCCTTCTGCTTTTCTGTCATACAGCCCTGGTTCTTATTTGCTCCTCAGGTGGGAGATGGACTTCCCTTAGCTTGACTCTGCCCCAGGCTGTGTACATCACTGCCTGTTAAAATATGTATGAGCACTTCCCCATGAAAGCTGGTTTTGCATCTTTTCTGAGAACAAAGCTGATAGCTAGCTTTGTTTTTCATTATTCTTGTTTTCTCTCCTTTGCTGACAGGAATTTTGTGGCATTTGAAGTTTTGAGAGAAGAGGAGTTCTCGCCGTTAAAAAATGCAGACACAGCTGAGAAAGACAACCCTAGCACTGCTCGGCGGGCCCTCCTGGCCCAGCACTACCGCTGGGCTCTCAGGGCTGGGGCCAGGTTTCTGGATGCAGATGGCTGCAGGATACCAGAGGAGCTCAGGTGTGAACCTCAGTGATGTTCTCTGCAGCTTCTTTGCCTGTGGCTTCCCGAGCCTGGCGGCTGGCTGATGGCACACACACTGTGCTACACAGTTCAGAGCATCTGTCTGAACACTGGTGTGAGCTCTGTTCAGCTGGCCTTCTCCAAACATCCTCTTACAGCTACTGCTCCATCAGTACTGCGAGTACTTTAATGCACAGTACCCTTTGCTTTAGCTTTGGCAGAGATTCCTGCCTTGGGGGTCACAAGTCAACTCCTCCTATAGCAACTTGAACACAGTCAGACAGCTGCCTTAGATAGAAGCAGACTTTTCTATCACTCAGGATGTAACCAGCCCAAGGAACTGCAATTTGTGGTCATCCCTGCCTCTTCTGATTGTGGTCCCAGTTTTTAAAGCCCAGCAGAGTCTCAGATGGATATTACAGCAATTACCAATTCATACACTTCCTGCTTTTACAATTACTTCATCAAATGACAGCTTAATAAACCCAGAAGCTGTTCATTTTATTTGAAAAGTACCTTTTAAAAAGCCATGTAATTGTTTTGATGAGAACCTGCTAATTCCCTCTCATTTTCATAGTTTATATTCAAATGATACCTGATGCATGTGAATATAACGAATGTTGTATCCTTCTGGATGTCTTACTCTTGACAAACCTTCGAAGACAACAGGCTGTTTTGTAAGCAGAGCAAGAAGTTAACCCAGTGTTCTCATGTTCAGTCTTTCAGGAACCGAAGATCCTCCGGCTGTGTGTGAGATTTCTCCATTAGTGTCTTACTTTGGAGAGGTGAGAATAATTATCTATGGAAGTAAAATTTTTAAGAGCATGCATGATTTCTTTACAGAAGAGAGATTTCATTAGCCTGTGCTTGCTCAGAAATGGTAAGGCAAACGGAGCTAGGACTTGTGTTATATTTGTGGTTCCATTGTGGCTTATTCTTGAGCAGTTTGTTCAGTCTTCACATACCTCGGTTTTAGCAATGTCTAAAATGAGAGATGTAATGAGGTGGTGAAGTTTCGTTAGGACTCATCAGTACTTTGAGATCCACTGGATGAAAACCTTCTTTGCTAAGTTCCTGTCTGCAGGGAGCTGGCTCACCACACTTGGTGCCTTATAAGAATAAAACAGAGGTGAGTCAGTGTGATTTTCGTTGCTAGGATCGTTCCAGTATGAGTTCAGAACACCCTGCCCCTCGCCTCTCCCTTCTCAGCAGGGCTCGTTCCTGAGCTCCACTGTTCTGCAGTTCATGCTCTCCTTCACAAACTCTGGTCGTATGGCTGAAGTGCTTTCTACTCTCACTGGGGAACAGTTCTGTTGTCTGTCCTTTGTGCGGCCTTTAACTTTGGGAGTCAGTCATTCCTTGTAAATGTTATAGAGACTTTGAAACAGTACACGTGGCCAATACGATGTGTTATAACCTAACCTGATGATTTTCACGTGTTCTCAGGGTCTGGAGGTGTACATGAAGAACAAAGACTTCTGTTCTCCCTTTATACTCGATGAAGACAAAGCAGAAATGCTAGGAAGTTCTTGAAGAGGAGGGAGGTCTTCTCCCCTCAAATCAGATGCTTGTGAGAGCAGTTATAAGAACCGACCCTACTAAAATGAAGTGCCTTATGAAAACTTGCTTTCAGTATTAGGTTGATGCCAAATCCTTGCAACAGTTGCATATACACATCTGTGCTCACTCAGCAGATCCGTTTGGTGACATTGAAGTCAGCCTTCTACCTTGATCTGTTTTGTCAACAGTGATATGAATGACAATTAATACTTTCCAGGTACCACACAGATTTTATATTTCCTTTCTCTAGTGCATACAGATTTATAACAGAGCCAGCTGGAATCTAATCAGTCAGCTTTGCATTCATGAAGATTAGATCTCTGCAGTGCTTACCTTTGTACCTTGTTTGCGCTGTTGTTATTTTTTGTGTATGTTTGCTTGTTTGCTTTAAGCTCTGCTGGTCAGGAGATGCAGTTCAGCATTCACATCCTGCAGTCAGTGTGTATGGAGGAGTGTGCTGCACTTGGGGCCTTCTGTGTTAAAGTTTTGCTTGAGATGTGGACCCTGCAGCAGTGAGACTGGCTTGCATATGTAGGCTCTGTGGTGGCACTCCAAGAAAACAGTAAATACGCAGCTCAGAGTGATTGCTTTTTACAGCTGCAGTGAGCTGCAGGTGGGGAAGAGGACAAAGAAGAAGGCTGAGAACTCTTCACAACAGCCTTCTCTTCCTCCCTTAGGACAATCATTTATTTTGCTTTCCATTTTTCCATTTGATACATACAGCATCCCTCAGGGAGGCGCTCCTGCGAAGTGCCTGAAGGTGGCAGTGACAGGAGGGACAAGCTGTGAGGGAGAGTTTGAGGCTTAATCCCAATGTAAGCAATGTAACAGTAAAACGCCTCAGCTTCTGCAATTTCCAGTGGAGCGCTTCTCAGCACTTTTTCAGTTAAGGAAATAACTCTTTAGATGCCTTGCTCTTATCCTAGGTTACAGACTATGATATATCAACTAACGAAGGAAGGTAATTTGCACAATTTCAGTAGCACAGCAGCCCAGCCTTGGCAGAGGGGTCTCGGGGTGGCCGTGCCTCACAGCTCCTGCTCTGCAACAGCAGATCCTACACACCAAAGTCATTTCACACCTCAGGAGGACTCTTCAGGTGCGTTGCTGAGCGGGGTTGGGTTGACGAGCACACACTGCATTTCCCCCAGTCAGCTGTAAGGAAGGTGATGAACCATAGAATCCTAGAATGGCCTGGGTTGCAAAGGAGCACAGTGCTCATCCAGCACAACCCCCTGCTGTGTGCAGGTCGCCAACCAGCAGCCCAGGCTGCCCAGAGCCACATCCAGCCTGGCCTTGAATGCCTGCAGGGATGGGGCATCCACAGCCTCCTTGGGCAACCTGTGCCAGTGCCTCACCACCCTCTGGGGGAAAAACTTCCTCCTAACATCCAACCTCAACCTCCCCTGTCTCAGTTTAAAGCCATTCTCCTTGTCCCATCACCATCCACCCTCACAAACAGCCGTTCCCCCTCCTGTTTATTTGCTCCCTTCAAGTACTGGAAGGGGAGAAGTTGTTTCAGATGAGGCATTTCATGTCTCTGCTTCTACTATGGAATTGTCAATGCTGATATTAAGCACTGATCTTTTATATAATTGAATTTCTGAAATTCTTCCTATGAAGCTGTATTCAGAATGTTGGAGGAAATAAAAATAGCTTTGAGAATAACTATCATGTGTAAGTAGGCTCGTGTTTTACAGAGAAACCGCCTACATGCTGACGGCAGAATTTACAGATAGGAAGTGTATCTGCATACACATGAGTAATTAACCTGCTATATGTGCAGATCAGCTAATTACAGTTCTGGTTACCTCTCGCTGCGTGTGCAACCAGTATTTTTAGTAGAATTTTTAGTAGAAATTGAGCATTTGTCTGTGACACTCAGTTCTGTATTTTTTATTGTGCATTTTTATGGGTCATTTCTATTCTTGTCTGTTGAGTTTTGCGTCCAAGACTGATTGCATTACATCTTTGAGAGCATTGCTTGTCGGTTCAGGCCCGGGTTGTTTTAAATTGCACTGTGCTATAAAGAAAGATTATTCTTCTATGCTTTCTAGAATGCTTTTTGAAACTGAACTGCAGTTCATTTTGTGGATGCTTTAATCGTGTGAACACTGAACTGCTGATACGTTTTTAGAGATTGTCTTTGAGGAGAAGAGGAATTAGGATGCTGAATGCCTCGTGTGTTTTGTTTTCCAGAAATTTTTGGACCACGAAGCATTTTGATAATAAAGATGTTACAGTGATTTCTATGTGTCTGTCTGCCTTGTTTGTGAGGAAATGCGGGTGGTTTTGTTCCTGTGCCGCTGTGCTGTCACACAGCTGTGGGACACTGACATGGCACCACTGCTGGCACAGCTGGAGGCTGCAGTGGCCATGGCTGATGTGCAGGGTGACATGGAACTCAGCAAATACCCGAAGCAGTTTGGCACTGCTGTGTTTTTCCATCAGACAGCTCACAGAGCACTATTCTCCCCCACAGCAGTTCTTCCACAGTGACAGGCTGTCCTCTCTATTGGGGGCTCAGTGCTGAACCCAGCAAAGACCCAAAGCAGACGTTCTTTCTCCTTTACCTATTTCATTCCACATCTTTCTCTTGTCACCCATATGAAGGTTGCTGCTGCTGGAGTTTTTTAATGCTTTTTTAAGCTATGTGAATTGGTAGTTTGCTGTGGTAGGAAAATGAGTACTGAAATGTGAATGTGTGTGTCAGGGTTCTGCTGAATTGTTTCTCTTGTTGCTTGTTTGTGCGGTGTTGATACTTACCAGAACAATTTCTTGGGGGCTGTGATTTTCTTTTTTAAATCATGAGATGTTAACTTAGCTCTCAGTTTTATCTTAGGGACTCTACCTGAAGGAGAGTCCAAATTTAAAGGTCCAAATGATGTCCTTAACTGAATATCTAGGCACACCGGGAGGTGAATTCTAGGCCAGCACTTAAGCAGTATTCATGCCTGCTGCCACACTCTTTCTCCCTGTTGAACTGTGAACTTGATGTGAACATAACCTGGTTCCCAGATGTAGGAGGTGGCAGTGGGTAATACAGAAACACAGGCAATGTGGCTCTAAATGTGTACAATGTTAAATGGTGCTGCCCTTCCTCCTCCTTCAGGAAGATGCTCTTTGCAAAGGGCACGTGAGAAAGGGCTGTGAAGGAGCAGGTAGGGAAGGGACTGTATGGATCCTGCTGTGTACCAAACTATTTTGAAAATCCCTTCAGTCAACTCTGCCCTCTCAGAGTCTCATTCATGCCTTTTCACACCCCTGAGCTCTTAGGACAGAGTTCCTGTGATGTCTGCCCTGGACCGGGGTGGGGGGATGAGTGATGCAGGCTGTTAGGATGCATGTTTTAGACTGCTCTGTCCTCTGGGATTCAGAGGAACTTTGGGTCTCCTGTGCCATGCTCAGGAGCTGGGCTGGAGCAGAGGTTGTGTGCAATGCACCGCAGCCCTGGTACCATCCTCCCACCAGGACACTTCCTGACAAGACATGGTGACTTCTGCACCCTTTGCACCCACATCCCCACCAGAGCAGCCTACCAGGCAGGTGGGAAATGCACCTTCCCAGATGCATTCAGCCTTCTTCCAATTGCTCAGTCACTTTTCTTCTTGTGACTGGTCTGTCCTGTGATCCCACAACACAGAAGAACAGGAGGGCTCTCAACATCTCCTTGTACCTCATTTCCTGTTCAAGATGCCCAAGTCCTGCTTGGACAAGGTCATGTGGTGAGAGAGAGTATGTAGAAGGCAAGGGCTGGCAAGGAGAGGAAAGAAATCCTTACATCCCTGAAGCTCCTCTGACCTGAAAGTAGTGATCATACCAGGATGACTGGGGGCATTACAGAAAATGGGGGACGTGACAGTAGAAGTGGGCAGCAGAGAATTATATCATCGAGTGACTTGGGTTGGAACAGACCTTTAAAGTCCATCCAGTTCCAAGCCCCCCGCCATGGACAGAGATACCAACCACTAGATCAGTCTGCCAGGGGCTCCATTCACAGCACTGGGCACCTCCAGGGATGGGGCACCCACAGCTCTGGGCAGCTATGCCAGGGACTCACCACCCTCTGAGTAGAGAGTTTCACCCTAATATCTGACCTAAATCTCCTCTCTTTTAGTTTCAGGGGGGTTTCCAACTCCCCCTTGTCCAATTCCTATCAGACTGTAAAAAAATCTGTCTCCCTCCCCTTTATAAGCTACTTTTAAGCACCAGGAGGCCACAGTGAGATTTTCCTGGAGCCAGTTCTCCCTTTCGACTTAGCAGAAAGGGCAGACTCTCCTTGCTCTGCCTTTTCTGACCAGCGTACCTGTAGATTCTCTTCCTGTTATTTTTCAAGTCCTTTGCCAAGTTCAGCTTCATCTGCACCTTCACTTTCCTGATCCTAACTCTGCACATCTGAATGGCATCTCTGTATTCTTCCCACCTATCCCTGTTTCCACTGCCTGTACACGTCCTTCCTTTGTCTTAGTTTGACCAGCAGGTCCTTTTTCAGCCTTGCTGCTTTCCTGCCTCTGCTTAATTTCTCATGCTGGAGGACAGAATATCATAGAACGGCTTGGATTGGAAGGAACTTAAAAGATTGTCTAATTCCAATCATCTGTCATGGGCAGGGTTGCCAACCTCTAGATCAAACACCAGCTGAGGCAGCCCAGGCCCATCCATGGCCATGAATCCAAGCAACTCCTTATCCACAGAATGGCCCGGACTTCAAATCCATCTCTCTCCAGTTTAGAAATAAGGATGTGGTGCAGGTCCATTGCAGGTCCATTGCAGAAGCCTCGCAGATCTAGGAAGACGACATTAGTGGCTCTCCCTCTGTCCACCAATACCGCCACTCCATTATAGAAGGCCACCAGATGGGTGTTGCACAGCGTGACCTCGGTGATGCTGCGCTGTCTCAGATCACCTGCTCATTCCTCGCATGCTCCTAACACGTTCTCTAGGAAGATCTGTAGCTCACTGTGCCCTTCTTTTTCACTTCCTTACAAATGGGGATGGTATTTCCCTTTTTCCAGTCCCCAGGGACTTCTGCTTGACAGCCATAACATGTAATATGATGGAGAGTGGCTCGGCAATCATCTCCTTAAGGCCCGTGCATGCAGGCTCTACTCAGCCTCATGAGTCAGCCTCGAACTCACACTGAGGGTGACTTTGCTCCCACGCAGAGGGCCATGGATGTGACGGACACAAGAAGCCTGGCTGCTGAGAGTACCTCAGCCTTCTGCACTTAACCTCCCTTTCTTAACGTAAAGGCAGCTCCCCCGCCCCGCCCGCCCCGCCTTTCTTTCAGACCTCCTCCCAGCTCCCGCTCAGGCCCGGCCCGCCGTCGCTATGGCGCTGGGGGCGCCATAGAGCCACGGAAGTGCTGCGGGGCTAGAGCGGCACCCGGAAGTGCTGCGGATTGAGAGAGCGGCACCCGGAAGTGCTGCGGGGTGAGAGAGCGGCACCCGGAAGCAACCGCTGGGTCGTCGCTCGGTGCGGGGAGGCTGCGCGGTAATGGCGGCGGGCGCGTGGGGCGGCGGGCGGCTGGGCGCGGGGCGGGCGGGCTGCGGCCTCTGAGGCTGCCGCCATGTACGCTGCCGCCGCCGTCGCCGCCTCGCCGCCCAGGCGGGACTTCATCTCCGTCACCCTCAGCCCGGAGGAGGCGCCGGGCGCCGGCGGCTACAACAACAGCAAGGCCTGGAGGCGGCGCTCCTGCTGGCGGGTGAGGGCGGCGGGCCGCGGGCTGTGCGGGACGGGGCTGCCGTGCAGGGGTGAAGGGAGCGGCTTCCACCGCAGTCGGGATGTCACGGTGGGGAGCTGGAGGCGGCGGAGCAGGAGAAGCGTTCTGTGGGGTGCGTGGGGCGGAGCTGCGGGGCGGCATCGTCTGCGTTGGGGCGTCCACGGCCTCTGGCCCTTATGGAGGGAGGGCTGTAGGAAGCGCTGTGAGGTGCGGGATGTGGCTTTAATGCCGAAGCTCCCTGTTTGCCAAAGGCAGTAACTGGAAGCAGATTCCTGCTCTGATGCATTTTGCTTCTGTTCTTAGAAAAAGCAACAGAATGGTAGCTTAAGTTAATGTTTAACTCCGACCTCTTTGTCTATGGATTGGAGTTCTTGGGTCTGACTTCTCTGTTAGGTTGATGTGGGATTTGATGTCTGGCTTTCAGTGATTTGGTCTAAGTACTTCATTTTTTGTCCTGTTTTGGTTTTGTTCATTATCCTGTTGGCTCACCTTATTTTGTATGGGTTGGTGGCTTTTCTTCTGGTGACAAACCATTATGTATGACAGTTCTACAGATGTGTTTTTGAGATGCAGTGCGCCATACTTTTCCTGGGCAGCAGCTGATATGAAGCTTATTTAAAGCCTTTTCTTCTTTGCTGCAGTAATATTTTTAGCTTTCCTGCCACGTTTTCTGTTTTCATTTTGCACGTCAGTTCTTTAGTAGCGCTGGGCAGGAAGGGATGAGATTTGTGGCGTGTTTCCAAGTTGACATCTGGGCAGATGCTCAGCTCAGGCAGGGCTGTGCTGGAAGGCAGCTTGCTGCAGATGCTGCTGCCTGGCAGTCTCAGCATGTGGCATTCGCCAGGGCTCTTGCAGCAAGCAGCTCTCCTGTTTCACCACACTTGCTGTGCTGTAGGGCAACATGTTGTACTTCTGTTTTCTCTGTCATTGGAGGAAATAAGCAGTGAACTTCTCTGTTGGAAAAAGAGGGTAAAATTAAACTTAGTTTTGTGGTCCTTGCTCTGAATGGACAGACAGGAGTTTAGTTTTGGTGGAGTGGGTTCTTAACGTCGTGCTAAATTTTCTTCCTCTTATTTTTTCTCTGGAAGAAATGGAAGCAGCTGTCCCGACTGCAGCGGAGCATAATTCTCTTCCTGTTTGCCTTCTTGACGGTCTGTGGAGTCATTTCATACACAAGTGTGGGGGAACCGTGGAAAAGTACGTGTTCTGTATGGCTGTAAATTACTTGAATGTAGTGTTACACTGAAGAGACTTTGGTAGTGCTTCTGAATAGTGTTTATTGTGGTGACAGTGGCTGATTTTGTCCATTGCAGTACAGTTATGACGTGTTTCAATGGGTTTGCTTAATCAGAAGTATTTTTCACACCTCTGTGTTGGCTTGACTGAAGAACATTTTGTTTTAGTTGATAAAGGTTTGGAGGCTGTGAATGTTCTTTCCATAACGTTTGTGTGTAGGTATCAGTAACTCCAACCTAAGCAGCAGGATAAGATGGTTTTGATTGTCTATAAGATTTGAAGTTCCAA